AATTTGTCTGAATAATTTTTAAAAATTCTTGACATAGTATGAATTTGTCTAATAAGGTTCTTGATTTTTCTTGACAAGTGTCTTGACAGTATGAACATTGTCTTAAAATTTCTCGACACTTCCTGTATCATCTGATAAGAGTCTGGATTAGTCTAAACCAACTCTTGACTGTCTTAAATTTTTCTCGATCTGTCTTGACATATTCTTGACATTCTTAATAATGTCTGAATATGTCTCGACATATTCTTGACATTCTAAATAATGTCTGAATATGTCTCGACACATTCTTGACAGTCTTAAATATGTCTTGACAATATCTCAACAGTATAAATTTCGCCTGAAATGTGAACAGACTTATTCTGCACTGTTTATGACATTCTATTGCTGTTATATACTCCTTTTTATTATGGCTAAACTAAACTTTGAAGAATCAAGGATTAATTTGGTATCGTAAGATACCCTTTTGGTGCAACTAAGTTGGCATACCCTGAATAATCCCCCATGTAGTTTAATTTTGATTTATTTTTATTAAACATTTAAGTAATTGTTTTCACCTGGAATATAAGTCGAAGGTATTGACAAACAGCCTTTAGATTTTTGCCGTTCGCAAAACTGCCAGTCAAATTTGCTGTACTAAAATAGGTGTCTTGTATCTCTTTTGGACCCCACAATTCATCTTTTGGGTTTGTGTGGCTAAAAAAAGAGGGGGGGGGGGGCTTTCGTTTAGGTCAAAGAATTTGTTCCCATCTTGATTCAAAAACCTTATTCATTTTTTAGAACAACCCAAAAACATTTTTTATTCAAATTTGAGTGTTGAATTTTATAATTTTTTATCAAAAATAAATATTTGTGATAACTCCTTCCTGAAAAGAAAAAAATGTTTAGATCTATATTATGCACGTCTGTTTGAGAACCATTTCATAAGACCGATGATTTCTATAGAAATCATTGATGGGACCCATTATAAATACATTTGTTTTATTATTCCTGGAGTAGATAATAATTTTCTTTTAATCTTTGGGAATTATTCAATTTGTTTTTATGTTAAAATAATTAACTTCATAATTTTGATGAAGAAAATCCATTTCAATTATATTTTTTTTCATCAAAATGATGATTTTCATTTTCATCTATCAACAAATTTTTTAAATTGTAGTGGCATGGTCGGTCAACTGATAAGTTGTATGGCTGATTACAGGTAAAGCAATAACTTCTATTTGACAGTTGCGTGTACTCTGGGTGTGGAATACCTTAATTTTATGGGGAACATCCTGTCCATGTGTAATACTTAATATATTCCAACAGATGACATTACACAAATTTTTCTTCTGTTAAATGAATGATTTGTATATCATCATAATTTGCTATTTATATAAACCACATTTTGGTATAATAATTATTTACCATATCAACATTGAATATTATGAATATAGAATGAAATATGTCTACAGTATGATTGGTTTGAATTATTTAATTCATAAGATTAAGAATCAAAATTTGTAATTATTTAAAAACCCACATTGAAATTGTTTTATATCAACACACCCACATTTGAATTATTTTATACTTTAGATTTCATAGCTATATTTGCATTTGTAAAAATATTTTCAATTATTTTACATGCCCAACTTTTATTTTTGTTGTAAAGAAGTGTAACTTGAAACAACAGTATATCATATAAAGAGAAATAAAGATTAAAGTTATATCATGAATATTGGTCATGATTTGTAAACCTCAAAACTGTCAAGTAAATTTAAAACACGATTCAAAATGTTCAGAATATGTCAAGCCATACTGGGAAAAAATAAGAATGTCGAGAAATTTCAAGACAGTATTCAAATGTCAAGAATTTGTCAAGAAATTTTAAGACCATATTCAGAATGTCGAGAATATGTCGAGTAAATTTCATACAAATTTAATATAAATGAGAATTTGTCAAGAAAAATTAAGACACAAGTCATACTTTTGGAGAATGTCGAGCAAAAGTTCATGCAAATTCAGACAAAAATTGGTCTTTTCAGACTTTTAGACTTTTGTAGTGTTGATAAGTTCCTTTTGACTTTTGTAATCAGTTTCTTGGTTTCCCTTTGAAAGGTTCAAATATAATATGTTGCGCTTTTACTTTGCATCATTTCTCCAAATGGAACTTTCTGCCTGGTTGATAAGTTCCGTTGGAACTTTTGGGCTAGTTTCTTAGTTCCGGTTTTGACTAATTTGGCAAAAAGGAACTTTCTACCTAGTTGATATGTTCCGTTGGAACTTTTCAACTAGTCACTTTGTTGCGGTGGAACTTTTAAACCAGAGGAAGAACAAAGTAACTAGTTAATAAGTTCCTCCGGAACTTTTCGGCTAGTTAGTTCTTTCCACCCGGAACTTTCCAACGTCGGATCAAAAGAGCATTTACAATATCAGGTGCTCCGGAAGGGTAAGCAGATCATACTCCATCCGTCATGTTGCTCATAAGTACAGTCTCGTTTGGTTGTGTCACAATCGAGGAAAAGAGGCTGGGATTGTGTTTACGATAATTGGAACATATCGGTGGTCGTGTATGACAGATATTTCATAACGATCAACAAACTCTTGATGGCGCCGTAAAACTTCCGAAGAGAAGACTTCAACTGTACCACTGGCATTCCAAAAATCACTACAGGCCCTCCTTTTGTGATTTTGTTGAATATTTAGTGTTGATATTTGATTTTCATTGCTCATAAAGCTTTCTATTTGTTAAATACTGTTTTTTTTTTCAAACCTTTTAAAAAATATTTGGAAATATAATGTTTATGAGTAAAGCTTTAATCAAAAGGTTATGAGAGTATGTGAAAATATTGAAAGAGCCGTAATATATAACATTAGATTAAATGACCTGAAGTTGTTAAATCAAATGTTACGTCATTTTGATCTCTGATGGACAGTTGTATAATTGTGAATCATACCACACCTTCCTGTTTCTAATGGAATAGCCAATCCCTTGTATTTGATGTTTCTGTTCGTAGCTTCAAACCTGGTCTCTTTTTATTGCTGAAGATCGGCCACAGATAATACTTTACAAAAGATTTGTAGTAACGCTTTCTGGCCAGATTGGTGTTGTTACAATTTTTTGTCGGAGGAGTCGGATGTTGAAGATTTGTATGGTTTATTGCGCTGTATTTTTGTTATTACCTTTTTAAATATTATCATGAACAACATGACAGGCTTTACCACTGGACCACAAAATGTTTACCCTCACTGGGCACTAGCATTCAAGCTAGTTTTCATATGGTGTTCCTGCTGCTCAATCTTCTTTTTTCTAGAGGTTTTAATTACTATGCTTGTCATCATTTCATCTTTGAACTTTTGGTTAAAAAGTTGCCTGTCCTTCTACAACGTCCATTCCTATTTTTTAATCTAGTATTCTTTTTCACTAAATCAACCATAATTGATGAAGGGGGCTTTTCCTCAAAGAAGTTATTTGATAGATATAAGAAGATGTGGTATGAGTGCCAATGAGACAACTCTCCATCCAAGTCAAAATTTTTAAAAGTAAACTATGTTTTATGTTTTGATGACCAATTCTAAAGTGTGTCATCTGAACTACCTTTTTTTTACCAAGTTGTCAAATATTCATATCAGGTATTTTCCGTTAATTCAATGGTCAAACGTCAAGAATGGATAATTTCTTAGTTTCAAGATGTGAGCGATATCATATATTCTGTCTTCAAATTTATAATTCAATATATGGAAATATTAATAACTTCTAGAACACAAGTTTACAGTCATTCACCAACACCAACACAGACGATCACGTGAAATTTTAGTGAGAAGAAATATTGATATTTTTTTTTTTTCATTTTTCCTGTGTTTCCATTTTTAAATTTAACTTTGTCATAACAGTTGTTAAATGATTTGGTGAATCAATGCTTTTCTTTCAGAATAATTTAATACTGTCTAACTTCCACTTAAAACTGCAACAAGGCTTATAATGATTATATAACCAACATAATCTCACCAAATTGCACAACAAATCCTAAACGCCTCTGGAGCTTTATCAACGGTGGAGTGGCACCCCTTAAAGCAACAAATGGCCTAACACATTTTGAACCAACTGCAACAACCAATTTTCATCCGTGTTAAACTCCAACAAATCAGAAGACAACATTAAAAATCAATGAGCAAATTGACATTCCCGGATATGCTTAACATTAAAATCACAGTACCAGGCGTACTTAAACAACTATAAGGTCTCCAATTCCACTAAGCAACTGGACCGGATGGATTGTCTGCTAGACTGTTGAAGTTTCTAGGCACAGAAATAGCGCAAGTCTTTACACTCTTTTTCCAGTCATCCATTGACCAAGGGGCTATCCCAAAGGAATGGAAGAAGCCAGATGTGGTACCTATATTAAGAAGGGAGATAAGGACCGCCCAGAAAACTATAGACCTGTCTCACTCACATCCATCACCTGGAAAACATGTTGAACATATCACGAGCAGAATTATGAGACAACTAAATCTACAACACACCATTTTAATAGACGCACAGCATGATGTCCTGTCACCCAATAACTAACATTTCAGTAAATGTTTGCATCTCATATATCCAAGTCAACTTGAGATTAAGGGTACTACCAAAACCAATATTACCATGTGTTCAGTAGTCCAAACACTCCATGAATATTTTAGTATATTTCATGAAGCATTTTTTTATATGTATCATCTGGAAGCCACATTTTGCAAACAATCAAGGATCATAACTTTGATATAGTAATGCTAAAAGTCAAACGTCAAATGTTATCTTAGTTCATTGAACCAAAACGCTCAAAGATAGTTTTCTACCCATATCATGAAACTGTTCTCATCTGGAAATCAAAGTGTGACTGGAGAATGAACAGATAAAACTAACTTATCTTGGACAGAAACGTGAACATCCCTTTCATTTGAGCATGGGTATAAAATTCCTCAAAGTAACTATTTTTTCCAGTTTATTTGTAACCTCTTTCATAAAAAAGGAGTAAATATACAAATATGTAAAAATTATTTTTATTTTAACAATAAAGGATTTCAAATTTGCACCATTACTGAGTATAAAAATTAATTTCATAATAAAAAAATAAACATATTTGAGTTTATGATACGAAATTACATAATAGCTGCATAATCACCTTCTATAAAATCTACATGAATTCACAAAGAAAGACTACATTAAACATATAAAATAAACAAGCCACAAAATAAACTTTATAGGGGGAGGGTTGAGCTCTCACAAAACATGTTCAACCCTGCCGCATTTATGCGCCTGTCCAAAGTCAGGAGCCTCTGGCCTTTGTTAGTCTTGTATGTTTTTTGGTAATTTTGGTTCATTTATATGTTTCGGAGTATGACGTCCATTTTCGCTGAAGTAGTACACATTTTGTTTATGAACCAGCTGAAGCCCGTCTATGGGTGTGGGATTTTCTCGACAAGTTGAAGACCCATTGGTGGCCTTGGGCTGTTTAATACTCTTTGGTCGGGTTGTTGTCTCTTTGACACATTCCCCATTTCCATTCTCAATTTTATTTATCATTTTATACAGTTTACAGGTATGCAATTGCGTGGATTCAACAGTATACATAAAAATAACAAGTTAATCCTTAGATCCTACTGTTCATAGTGAACAGTAACAATAAAATGTCTCCAAGTAGCCAACATTATCATGATTTTTATGTTTAACAATAAAATTTAATTATTGTTCTGTGCATTGCTACTATCTTACTATCCTGTATAATCATGCCCTTTAAGAAATAAATAAATAATAAATAAAAAAAAACATCTTAAATTATATTGTCTGTAAAATATAATTTTTTTAAACTTGAGGGTTCCAATTCATAATTCCATTTTTGTTCATCTCTATCAATGAATCAAAGAAATTGAAATCACAGGTTGAAAGATTGGAAGAGTTGTGTACATAATTTCAAACCATATTTTAGTCTTCTATTAAGTATGTTACATGGTGGAAACAAGAGTGCACACACTGAAATGTCTCGCCTCCTTTACTAACCATTAATATTATGTTGATAGTCCTAAATAGAAAGCTTTACTACAACTATTACATACACTCAACATGATCCAAGAAAATGAGGTCAAGGTCAAACAAACCAAACGAGAAATACATGTACACCTTACAATGGTTTAATACTCTTAATATAGTTGACCTATTGCTTATAGTTTCTGAGAAACAGACTAAACCAAGAAAATTAAACACTGACCAATGAACCATGAAAATCAGGTCAAGGTCAGATGAACCATGCCAGGCAGACAAGTACAGCTTACAATCCTTCCATACAACAGTTGACCTATTGCTTATAGTTTAAGAAAAACAGACCAAAACACATAAACTTAACACTGAGCAATGAACCGTGAAAATGAGGTCAAGGACAAATAAAACCTGTAAGAATGACATGTTCATCATAAAATATATCCATACCCAAATATAGTTGACTTATTGCATATAGTATTAGAAAAAAGACCAAAACCATGAAAATGAGGTCAAGGTCAGATGACATCTGCCAGTTGGACATGTACACCTAACAATCATTCCATACACCAAATATAGTTGACCTATTGCATATAGTATTAGAAAAAAAGACCAAAACTCAAAAACTTAACTTTGACCACTGAACCATGAAAATGAGGTCAGGGTCAGATGACACCTGCCAGTTGGACATGTACACCTTACAATCCTTCTATACACCAAATATACTAGACCTATTGCTTATAGTATCTGAGATATGGACTTGACCACCAAAACTTAACCTTGTTTACTGATCCATGAAATGAGGTTGAGGTCAAATGAAAAGTGTCTGACGGGCATGAGGACCTTGCAAGGTATGCACATATCAAATATAATTATCCTTTTACTCATAATAAGAAAAAAATTAACATTACAAAAAATCTGAACTTTTTTTTCAAGTAGTCACTGAACCATGAAAATGAGGTCAAGGACAATGGACATATGGCAGACAGAAACTTCGTCACATAAGGCATCTATATACAAAGTATGAAGAATCCAGGTCTTCCACCTTCTAAAATATAAAGCTTTTAAGAAGTTAGCTAACACCGCCACCACAGCCTGATCACTATCCCTATGTCTAATTTTCTGCGACAAAAGTCGCAGGCTCGACAAAACACCATGACAAAGCACTATTGCATATAGTTGAATTACAGCAAAACTTAGAAACAAAAGCAATTAATAACTAAATGTGTGTCAATATCAGTAGGTCACTAATTTATCATAATCTTTTAAATGTGATTCTATATTTTTATCAAATCATGTTCATAGTTTTAAAGTTTCAATCTGACATTTTTTTTCAAACACAAAAAATTACCAAATAAAGATTCCTCTAAAAAATCAAAATCCTTAGATATCCCGGAAGAACCTGGGACCAATAGACAAAGGGACTTGAAAATAAGATAAATAAAGTCTTTGACTTCCAAGTTTTATCATTACCTATGAGGGTACTCTATTTCTTCTAACTCCTAACAATATGACATTGAAGACAAATGGTTGAAGCGTTGCATATTGTAATTCATATTTCCATAATCTTATTATAAAGATTTTACTCCAGTGTCCAAAGATAGAAGTTTTTTTTCATTTTTGAGGCATGTCATTTTTAATATTTCAATTCTAATAGGTGCACTGTCTTAAATATCTACAATATTTGTGAGTTCTTAGTCATTTAAATCAAGATATCCATCAATACCAAATTATATAAATAACAAAAAAAAACATTAAGATTTGACAGAAATCAACCATTGTAAAGGTTCCTGACTTGCAACAGGCACATGCATATGTGGCGGATTACACTAGTTTTTAGAGATCTCAACCCTCCGCATACTAACATTAAGACGTCAAAGCATAAGTAATTTCGATTTCAATTTCAACCTTGACATTTTCATGCCGCCAATAAAAAGGTCTTGGCGTCATTACCGCAAAGATCAGAAATAAACTGTTAACACAGAGATATGTCTTGCCTTTTTGTACTTTTGATAATGCAAATGTTGAAATTAAAATAGCAATACTTTAACATGTAAGTTATGCAAATATTCAAAGTCAATGAACCATGACTGAAGGTACATGGCAAAACAATCTCCATGGAAATGAGATGTTCCAATGCTAATACAACTGCATACCAAATCGCATAGACTTATCATAAGTCGTTCCCTTTCAACAAACCTAAACACAAACATTGACTTGTAAACTATGTAAAAATTTCAAAATCAATGAACCATGATGGGGTGGGGCTATATAATCCATGGAAACGAGACTTGCAAATGTCAATACATTTGCATACCAAATATCATTGACTTAACATTAGCAGTTCATCTTAAACTGATCTAATCACAAACTAATACTTGTAAACTAAGCAAAAGTTTCAAAGTCAATAGACCATGACTGTGGGGGCAGGACCAAATATTCTCCATGGAAATGAGATGTGCAAATGGTTATACAACTGCATACCAATTATCATTGACCTTCCACTAATGGTTCCCCTTGAACTGACCTAATCACAAACTAATACATGAAAACGAAGCAAAAGTTTCATAGTCAATAGACCATGATGAGGGGGTGGGGCTATATAATCCATGGAAACGAAACTTGCAAATGCCAAAACATTTGCATACCAAATATCCTTGACTTAACATTAGCTGTTCACCTAAAATTGATCTAATCACAAACTAATACTTGTAAACTAAACAAAAGTTTCAAGGTCAATAGACCATGACTGAGGGGGCAGGATCAAATATTCTCCATGGAAATGAGATGTGCTAATGCTTATACAACTGCATACCAATTATCATTGACCTACCACTAACAGTTCCCCTTGAACTGACCTAATCACAAACTAATACATGAAAACAAAGCAAAAGTTTCAAAGTCAATAGACCATGAATGAGAGGGTGGGGCCAAATAATCTCCATGAAAATGAGATGTGCCAATGCATATACAACTGCATACCAAATATCATTGACCTACCACTAGTGGTTCCCCATAAACTAACCTAATCACAAACTAATACATGTAAACGAAGCAAAGTTTCAAAGTCAAAAGACCTTGACCGAGGGGGGCGGGGCCAAATAATCTCAATGGTAATGTGATGTACCAATGCTAATACAACTGCATACCAAATATCATTGACCTACCACTAGTGGTTCACCATGAACTAGACCTAATCACAAACTTATACATTGTTGACGCTGCCGCCGACGCCGGAAACAGCATACCTATGTCTCACTTTTTGATTCCGTCAAGTCGAGACAAAAATAAAGGACATTATTTCTACAAACATATATTACAGACTTGATTTTTAACACATATCTCATGGCATGACACTTATTCAAATGTTAAAATGTTTTTTTAAATGGCACCAAGGTAATTTTTGACCAGTCTAGACATTGTAAAACCCTAGACTCAAAACTGTAAATATGATATCAGAATTAGCAATAATATATATTTTTTTCTTATATGACACCTATTTTGTTAATGATTCACAGACTTAATAGATATTAAATTTTTTTGTAAACTTCCATCTATTTCATGAACATTAACAACTAAAATAAAAATAAGCTGAATGTGAAAATACTGTGGGAATCTTTTTCATGGATGTCTATGATACCAAATTAACAGATCAGAATCAAGTTTGGCTTATCTTCTTTTGTTCGCAGTGTCAGACATTCATCAAGTCCTCTTTTCCCTATTACATTTTCCTACATATCAATCATCATATTTACATTATCAATATCCCACAATGCTCTATTCCTTTTTTAACCCCAATGCTCTATTTCTTTTTTAACCCCCAACGCTCTATCCCTTTTTTAACCCCCAATGCTCTATTCCTTTTTTTACCCTAAACGCTCTAATCCTTTTTTAACCCCAACGCTCTATTCCCTTTTTTTAACCCACAATGCTCTATTCCATTTTTAACTCACAATGCTCTATTTTTTTTTCAACCCACAATGCTTTATTCCTTTTTTTTTAAACATGAGAAGTCTTTTTTCATAACAATCAATATTGTACTTCAATAAGTTGGTTGAACCTTCTTCCAATCTTTTATTCTTTTTATCAACTTCCATAAGCTTTTGGTATATGTATAATGGTCTGTGATTCTGAAAGTAAAACAACATTTTTATTACTTACATGTTTACATTTTATATGCTACACCACAAAACTCATAAATTAAATTATTGGCCACACCTGTCATGTGATCATAATATAATTAATAAATCATAGTTAAGAAATATTGCAACCTGGATATGTTTTGGGCACAGACAATTACAAGTCTCTAAATGCATTTCTTCAAGTTGTTTTCAAATCTGCAGTGTTCATGAGAGAAAACAATGTACAAAATACAGTTCCATTTTCAATCAGGGTACTTACTGAAATAATCAATTTTAACTAAAACCTAGATTTCTACTGGAAAATTGTCAAGTAGTTTGATGAAATGTGTATTGAAGCATGCTTAATACTGAAACCAACCATTTGTGGAAGATTTATGACAAGAATGCATACTGTTTTTGCAAAGTCCAAACCTGAGGATAAGGTTTAAAACTCTGGAATTAAAAGATATGAAGAAGATGTTTCCAAATGTTCAAAATGAAATGGAGAAAGTTTCTTTCTTATGCATTTTAAAAAATGTTTTGCACTTTTTATCAGTAACATGAATTCCTCTCTTTGTTTTAATATTTAAAAAAAGATGGAGCTATCTTTTGAATAATTATATCATGAAGTATGTATCCTCCCCTTAAAGTAATAAAATGGTTATGAATAAAATGAGATGTGGGATGTATTTCAATTAGACAGTAACCAAACAACAAAAATAACCAAACAGAGGGCACCATACAGTCTTCATGACAGTGACGGTGTCTGTACAATATGTCAAGCTTGTAATTGTCTAGAGTTTATAAAAGTGGCGAATAAATTTAATAGAGAGTATCATTTCGTAATAGCAAATGATTGGAATGCACATTATGCTTATATTATATTATATTATATATCATTTTGATGACATCCTTCCACAAGAAGATGCTTCTCAAAATTTGTGACATTTTAACAAAATAAGTAAGTTTTTACCCTTTTTTTTTTTATATATATCAGGTTTTTTTAAAATCCTATTATAAGAAGATATTTCCCCAAATTTGTGATTTGTTAACAAAAACCAATTTTATTCCAAAATTAATGAGTCAAATTTTACAAAAATATATTATGCACATCTACAAATTGTGCAAAATTTCACTGGCCTCCTACCTATACTTTTGGGGTTATTGCGTTTACAAAAATTGTTGACAGGCAAAAAGAAAAACTATAGAGCTCACGCTGGGCCTTATAATAAAAAAAGTAAAATATAATAGCAGCTTATGTGCAGAGTTCAACATTAACTTTTTTAACAACTTGCTCTTGGGGAAGTGACCATGAAATTTTCTTGTCTGAAAGAGAAAACCACTAGTCCAAGCTTTGTTCTTGCCTAAGAAATTTCTAAATTGCCATTAATGGATAAAAAGTCATTTCATCTTGTTCATGTTTCATTTCTCCGAAATATCATTTCGCCAAATGCATCGATGAAATACAATCCTCTGTATTCTTTGACTACATTTATAGTTTGAAAAACCTTGTTTTTTTTCTCCTTGATTAAGTTGGACATTCAATCTTTCACAGATTCAGACTTTAGAGTAATGATTGTTGTTTGTTGCAATATATCATATTTGTTTATTGTTTATTGTTTTGTACATAAATCAAGCCGTTACTTTACTCGTTTGAATTGAAGTATAGGTATCATTTTGGGGGCTTTAATAGCTTGCTTTATGGGTTTTGCTCATTGTTGAAGACCATATGATTACCTATGGTTGCTAACCTTCTACATCATTTGGTCTCTGGTGAAGAGTTGTCTCATTGGCAATCATACCACATCTTCTTATTAAAATAATTTTTATAATATATAATAAAACATCTGCTAAATAATTTTGGTCAAATAGTAAGTTGACCTTTCCTTGTGATTTACAGGTGTTTGGTGCATGCTGTGAAAATGTATAAATGTTACGTAGAATTGATAATAAACTTTTGAACATGTTGACAACATTAACACATAGTTTACATAAACAAGGCCATGCTTGCACATGTTTAGGTGAGGCATACAAAGCAAAAGTTCATAGGTTGTCAATTTCCATAAATTTTGACAACAGCAGTTAATTAAGGATGTGTTATCGATTAATAAATGTTTTGTCAAAAGTCAAGCACTATGTATTTTGGAAGGCAACCAATAATTTTGACACAGAGAATAATTTCATAATAGCAACTGACACCTTTTTCATATAAATCCTAGCAAAAAATATGATTCTCAGAATCTATCATTTCTTAACACAATTTTGACCTAAGAAAAAAATTTTGAATTCATATAAGATACAAGATGTTGCTTCTTAAAATTTGTGATTTCTTAACATTTTTACCATTTTTTTAATTTGTCAATCACTTTGAAATATCTTAATACACCTATATATATATGTCAGTTTTTGCTAATATCCTATTATACGAAGACATTTCTCAAAATTTGTGATTTCTTAACAAAAACAAAGTTTTTTTTTCAATAATTAATGAGGAGAATTTCACCAAAATATAATATGCACATCTATATATTCATGATATTATGATGTTACAACAACTGTGAAAAATTTCATTGGCCTCCTATCTATACTTTTCTAGTTTTTGCATTTACAAAAGACATTTATGGAGAAAATTTTGGCAAGATACTTTTATTAGCTTAAGGATAATCTTGATGATTTCAGGATTAAAAGGCAATTTTAGTCTTAGATGCATGATTATTTTTATTAGTTATTATTGGCTTTGAACTTGCTGTCAGTAAAGTTTGTTCTGTGAGTACTCTCAGATCTGTGTCTTTTTGTTGTGGGGATATATAAGTACCCTGCCACATCCACTCTGTGTTTGTGTTAGATGAATATCTGCTTTGAATCAATCTGATGAGTTAAGCCCTTTTCAACTGATTTTTATAGTTTGTTTGTATGTTGTACTGTTACACCACTGTCCCAGGTTAGGGGAGGGTTGGCGCACCTTCAAACTAGTTTAACCCCGCTACATTCTGTATGTGCCTGTCCCAAGTCAGGAGCCTGTAATTCAGTGGTTGTCGTTTGTTGCTGTATATTATTTTTGTTTTTCATTCATTATTTTGTACATAAATCAGGCCGTTAGTTTTTTTCGTTTGAATTGTATTACATTTGTCATTTTGTGGCCTTTTATAGCTGACTATGCGGTATGGGTTTTACTCATGGTTGAAGGCTGTAAGGGGACCTATAGTTGTTAATTTCTATTTCATCTGGTCTCGTGTGGAGAGTTGTATCTTGGCAATCATACCATATCTTCTTATTTTTATAGTCTAACTAGGACGCATCCCCCGGCTGCATTTAAAGACTTTCTCTCTTGTTTCAGTATATGATATTATAATTTGATGTACATGGTATCTGAATGAGAGCACTGTTTATATGCATACAAAAAAGATGACTGATATATCACCAACGGTCCAACTTGGAAATAAAGCTTTCTTTTAAGTATCTTTAGTTGTACTACAGTGGTACACATATTGCAATTCAGGGGTAATTACTCCTAAAAAGACTCTACTGATGAGTTTGGCCATGGTGAGTTATATATTGTACACTTTATTTTGCTGATCCTTTCTGCAAATTAGAGTTTCTCTCTAGTTACTAAAGTTTTCAACAAAATGCCAAAAAAAAGTGTAAACTTTGAGTCAGTGGCAATAACTTGTATATGGAGTCTATTGACAATTTTGGCAATGCTGACTTACTATTCGATCTTATTGTGCTAATCATTGCTGCTATCTACAGTTTCTATCTACCTATGATAGTTTCTTAAAAAAAAAACCACAAAAAATGGGTAAAAATCGGCTTTCAAGGGCAATAACTTTTACTAGGAGTCAGATTACAATTTCAGCCATGTCAACTTATTTGAAGATCTTAAGATTCAATATATCTACTAGTTTCCACAAAAAATGGTAAAAAATCATCTATCAAGGGCAATAACTGCCATAAGTGGTCAATTTTGGCCATGTCGGCTAATTTGTAAATCTTATTTTGCTAAACATTTTCTCTATTAAGAGTTTGGTTTTTTTTATCTGTAATAGTTTCTTCAAAAACTACAAGAAATGGGTAAACATTGTCTTTCAAGCAGAATAACTCAAATAAGGAGTCAATTGACTTTTTCAGTTATTTTTATAATTAAGTTTCGAAAAAAAAATTGACTACTTTTTATGACTAAAATCCTATATCTCTGAAACTTTGAAAATTGATAACTAGAGGCTCTAAAGAGCCTGTGTCGCTCACCTTGGTCTATGTGCATATTAAACAAAGGACACAGATGGATTCATGACAAAATTGTTTTTCGGTGATTGTGATGTGTTTGTAGATCTTACTTTACTGAACATTCTTGCTGCTTACAATTATCTCTATCTATAATGAACTTGGCCCAGTAGTAACAGAGGAAAATATTTTGTAAAAATTCACAAAAATTTACAAAATTTATGAAAATTGTAAAAAATTGACTATAAAGGGCAATAATTCCTTAAGGGGTCAATTGACAATTTTGGTCATGTTGACTTATTTTATATCTTACTTTGCTGTGCATTATTGCTGTTTACAGTTTATCTCTATCTATAATAATATTCAAGATAATAACCAAAAGCTGCAAAATTTTCTTAAAATTACCAATTATGGGGCAGCAACCCAACAACGTGTTGCCTGATTGGTCTGAAAATTTCAGGGCAGATAGATCTTGACCTAATGAACAATTTTATCCATGTCAGATTTGCTCTAAATGCTTTGGTTTCAGAGATATGAGCCAAAAACTGCATTTTACCCTATGTACTATTTTTTAACCATGTCGGCCATCTTGGTTCGCGGGCGGGGTCATCGGACACATTTTTTAAATTAGATACCCTAATGATGATTGTGGACAAGTTTGGTTAAATTTATCTTAGTAGTTTCAGAGGAGAAGATTTTTGTAAAAAGATTACAAAAATTTACGAAAAATGGTTAAACTAGAGGCTCTAAAGAGCCTGTGTCGCTCACCTTGGTCTATGTGCATATTAAACAAAGGACACAGATGGATTCATGACAAAATTGTTTTTCGGTGATTGTGATGTGTTTGTAGATCTTACTTTACTGAACATTCTTGCTGCTTACAATTATCTCTATCTATAATGAACTTGGCCCAGTAGTAACAGAGGAAAATATTTTGTAAAAATTCACAAAAATTTACAAAATTTATGAAAATTGTAAAAAATTGACTATAAAGGGCAATAATTCCTTAAGGGGTCAATTGACAATTTTGGTCATGTTGACTTATTTTGTATCTTACTTTGCTGTGCATTATTGCTGTTTACAGTTTATCTCTATCTATAATAATATTCAAGATAATAACCAAAAGCTGCAAAATTTTCTTAAAATTACCAATTCAGGGGCAGCAACCCAACAACGTGTTGCCTGATTGGTCTGAAAATTTCAGGGCAGATAGATCTTGACCTAATGAACAATTTTATCCATGTCAGATTTGCTCTAAATGCTTTGGTTTCAGAGATATGAGCCAAAAACTGCATTTTACCCTATGTACTATTTTTTAGCCATGTCGGCCATCTTGGTTCGCGGGCGGGGTCATCGGACACATTTTTTAAATTAGATACCCTAATGATGATTGTGGACAAGTTTGGTTAAATTTATCTTAGTAGTTTCAGAGGAGAAGATTTTTGTAAAAAGATTACAAAAATTTACGAAAAATGGTTAACTAGAGGCTCTAAAGAGCCTGTGTCGCTCACCTTGGTCTATGTGCATATTAAACAAAGGACACAGATGGATTCATGACAAAATTGTGTTTTGGTGATGGTGATGTGTTTGTAGATCTTACTTTACTGAACATTCTTGCTGCTTACAATTATCTCTATCTATAATGAACTTGGCCCAGTAGTTTCAGTGGAAATTATTTTGTAAAAATTTACAAAATGTACGAAAATTGTTAAAAATTGATTATAAAGGGCAATAACTCCTTAAGGGGTCAATTGACAATTTTGGTCATGTTGACTTATTTGTAGGTTTTACTTTGCTGTACATTATTGCTGTTTACAGTTTATCTCTATCTATAATAATATTCAAGATAATAACCAAAAGCTGAAATTTTTTTAAAAAACTACCAATTCAGGGGCAGCAACCCAACAACGGGTTGCCTGAATGGTCTGAAAATTTAAGGGCAGATAGATCTTGACCTAATGAACAATTTTGTTTTTGAAAGATTTGCTTGAAATGCTTTGGGTTTAGATATATGAGCCAAAAACTGCATTTTACCCTATGAACTATTATTAGCCATGTCGGCCATCTTGGTTCGAGGGCGGGGTCATCACACATAATTTTTAAACTACATACCCTAATGATGATTGTTTACAACTTTGGTTAAATTCATCTTAGTTGTTTCAGAGGAGAAGATTTTTGTAAAAGATAACAAAAATTTACGAAAAAATTGTTAAAAATTGACTATAAAAGGGCAATAACTCCTTAAGGGGTCAACTGACCATTTTGCACATGTTGACTTATTTGTAGAACTTACTTTGCTGAACATTATTGCTGTTTACAGTTTATCTCTATCTATAATAATATTCAAGATAATAACCAAATACGGCAAAATTTCCTTAAAATTACTAATTCAGGGGCAGCAACCTAACAACAGGTTGTCCGATTCATCTGAAAATTTCAGGGCAGATAGATCTTGACCTGATAAACATTTTTACCCCAGTCAGATTTGCTCTCAATGCTTTGATTTCAGAGATATAAGCCAAAATCTACATTTTACCCCTATGTTCTATTTTTAGCCATGGCGGCCATCTTGGTTGGTTGGCCGATCCACTGGACACATTTTTTTAAACTAGATACCCTAATGATGATTGTGGCCAAGTTTGGTTAAATTTGGCCCAGTAGTTTCAGAGGAGAAGATTTTTGTAAAAGTTTACGGACGACGGACGCCGCACGATGCACGACAGACGACGGACGACAAGTCATGAGAAAAGCTCACTTTGCCCTTTGGGCCAGGTGAGCTAAAAAATGACTATAAAGGGCAATAACTCCGTAAGGGGTCAACTGACCATTTTGGTCAAGTTGACTTATTTGTAGATCTTACTTTGCTGAACATTATTACTGTTTACAGTTTATCTCTATCTATACAAAATGTAATAATATTCAAGATAATAAACAAAAACGGCAAAATTTCCTTAAAATGATCAATTCAGGGGCAGCAACCGGGTTACCCAACAACGGGTTGTCCGATTCATCTGAAAATTTCAGGGCAGATAGATCTTGATCTGATTAACAATTTTACCCCCATGTCAGATTTGCTGTAAAAGCTTTGGTTTTAGAGTTATAAACCAAAATCTACATTTTTACCCTATGTTCTATTTTTAGCTAAGGTGGCCATCTTGGTTGGTTGGCGGAATGGCCGGACTCATTTTTTAAACTAGATACCCTAATAATGATTATGGCAAGTTTGGTCAAATTTGGCCCAGTAGTTTCAGAGGAGAAGATTTTTGTAAAAGTTTACGGACGACGGATGCAGGACGCAGGACATGCAGGACGCAGAAAGCCGGACGACGGACGCCAAGTGATGAGAAAAACTCACTTGGCCCTTTGGGCCAGGTGAGCTAAAAAGGTATTCAATTCCTAATAATTTCCTGAAGTTTGAATTTCATCACTTAAAGCATACTTGATACATATTTATTATAAGGTTAAATCCTAACTATCCTACTGCCTGTCTATACTTTTATTTTGGCATTGCACAAGTCATGTCTTCTTTGACTATCCATGGCGTTAAAACACTAAATCCCTGGGATGTGTTTTAGTTGATTTTAGTCTCTGATGCATGATTTTTTATTATTAATTGTTTTTGGCTTTTAACTAGCTCTCAGTAAATGCGAGTTATCTCAAATCGTACCTTCATGTTAATTTGACCTGTTGACACAATTTGTAATGCATTTTTGTTATTCAATGCTTACTTATTTTGTGTTATATCTCCTCTCACTATTTTTAATATGAACCACCTTTGATAAGTATTTAGTATTACCGGTACTAACTATAAATTGTCACTTCTGTCCTCGCACTGTGAACAACAAATTTATCTAATTTGTAAAATATAAAAAATATTTCCATACTAACAACACAATTATTATATTCAAATTTTCCTGTGTATGTTATTTTATTTGACTACCTTTTATCCCAGGTTAGAGTTGTCTTTTTGACATTGTTTTTAATCTTTTTTTATTAACATTTTATTTATATTGTGTCATAGATCAAATTTATTCATTCAGTGTATGTTTTCTTGTTTTTGTCTCTATGTCTTTTTGGTCAAGTTAAGCCATTTCAATTGATATTTTATAGTGTGTCTTTTTAATGTTGTGATGTTACACTACTGTTTCAGGTAAGGGTGAAGGTTGGAGCTTGTTAAAACGTTTAAACCCGCTGCATTTGTATGCACCTGTCATAAATAAGAAGCCTTTTCAGTGGTTGTCATCTGTTGATTTCGTTCATAAGTGTTTCTCAATTCTCTCTTCTATTTTTTTATATAGATTAGACCATGGTTTTCCTGTTTGAATTGTTTTACACTAGTCATTTGGGGCCCTTTATAGCTTGCTGTAGGTGTGAGCCAAGGCTCCGTGTTGAAGGATGTACTTTGACCTATAATTGTTTTGCTTTTAAAACATTGTGACTTGGATGGACAGTTGTCTCAATGGCACTCATACCACATCTTCTTATTTCTATTGAGGTCCACATTTTGAAAGTCCCATAACAGTGATAGGTAATGAAACACTGTTTCCCATGAAAGTTTATTAATTTGGTGTAGTTAATCATATTAGGTCCTGCCAATTAGAATTTTCGAATGTCTTAACAATTGCCTAATTTCAGATGATTTAATTTTAAAAATCAAGTACCGAAACATCAAAATATTCTAAAGAGGAAGCTAGTGTCATTTATGATTTCTGATTAATTAGTACTGTGTATAATGCATGTGATGAATTTCTCCAGATTTTGACTGTTCATGAAAAACCTACCTATATCTTCTAATAAATTCTGTAAAATTAAACCAATAAATGATTTAGGTTTCTGAGATTCAAGTCCTACATATGAATATAACCTGAAAAATAAAAGAAATATTTAAATAAATGTTTGATAATTTCAAGCAATCATGTATTTCCAAAAAAAACTAACCAAATCTGTCATTTATCCTCATTTTCCCAAAACTCCAATATAAACCCCTGTGAAATCTTACAATAGTATAATCATAAATTTTTATCAAAATGTAATATCAACATATCACTTTTGATGGTTTAATATGTCATAACTGGGGTAGATATTTGCTAGGTACTTCTTATGAAAGTATATTCAGATATGACTCTGGAATAGGTCTGTTATTTTCAACCTGTTTAATTAAGAATGGTTAGAAAACATTAGCAAAACATATAAGTAATTAATAATTCAGTAATAGTGTATCTGAAATTCCAGTATGACAAAAGGGAGATAATTCAAAGAACCAGCAAAATTAAAAGTTTAAGTAGCATCTATCTGTTGTTTTTTTCTAATCCTGATCAATCTTTTAAGTCTGGAAACTGGCTTTAGACTGTTTTTACACACACAAATTCAAAGACTACTTTTGAAAGTAAATAACATATATGTTTCTTAATGCTTAAAGAAAAAAAAACATTAGGGTACGTAGTTAAGATTAAATTTCAGACAAAAATTTAACTTGGTCTATAATTATTTGTATCCTATCTGGAGGTATGAATCTCTATCTATAAAGAAGGTTCTCCTGTCTGGAGGTATGAATCTCTATCTATAAAGAAGGTTCTCCTGTCTGGAGGTATGAATCTCTATTTATAAAGAAGGTTAATTCTTATGAAATAAAAAAGCAAGCCCAATATGATTTTTTTTTCGTACGAGAATTATGAGGAGATAAAATTAATACTTCATTATCGCATATCATCACAATGCGACAAAAGTTGTTATATTTTGTAGGACACTTAAAATCGTGGAAAATACCACCCCACGAACAATAGTACTTTCACAGTATCAGAAATCACACTTACCATCCTAAATGAGTGCCACATCTAGGACATGCCACAAGCTGCCACATATAATCATGAAACCAGGTTTGTATATTTGAATACTGTAAAATAAAAATAATAGCAAAAAATCAAACTATGTTTAACCCTTCTGTTTTTGCCTGTCTTAAGTTAGAAGACAGTAATTCAGTGGTTGAAGTTGCTGTATATCATATTTGTTTTTCATTAGGTGAAAATAAATCCTGCTGTTGGTTTTTTTGTATGAATTGTTTGACATTTTGTCATGTTGGAGGCTTTAATAGAATGCTTTGTAGTCTGGGTTTTATTCATTGTTGAAGGCCGTAAGGTGACCTATATAGTTGCTAACATCTTCATCATTTGTGGATAATTTTCTCATTGGGAATTTATACCACATCTCCTTTTTTTCATACTAGAAATAGCCAACAATATAAGGACATCAAAAAGAAAACTACATTAAAACAATTAAAATTTGTGTCATTCCTGTATAACACATTATTTTTCTGTAAAAATGGTGCTATTATTCATCTTTGCACCTTCATGAAATTCAGAAGCTCTTTTCACAAACCATCTTATGACTAAAAGAGATCTTAAGTTATACTGAAATGTTCATGGCTTACAAAAGATTTTTTTTAGAAAAGAGACAGATAGCCATGTGTGACCCTGTAAATCTTTTCCATGCTTCGGGACATTTATAGGTTAGAAAATATCAAATTACTGAGCCAAACAAAATCGCAAAAAATGGCAGTAAAGAGGTCAATCAGACACAGGAATTTTTTCTAAATATCAATAGAAACCAACAAGGGTCCTGATAAACAGAGACAGAATCTATTAAAAGACCTTTCTGATCAACAGAGACACATACAAGTGTCCTTCATATCAATAGAGACACAATATATACCATGTAAATTTTTGTGGTTTGAAGAAATAAAATCAATTTGTGTTTTATTGCATTCATGGTTTCAGTCTTAGTACATAGCATATTCGATGAAAGTTGCCATTCACTGGGTTTTGAAATTCCTGATTTTTAAGAATCACAATATCTACAAAATAGCAACCAAATAAATATATATGTTTTCAAAGTATTTATGTTTTGGCATGTTATTTAGACATATACTATTGGTCTTTTTTTAGTTGCCACTTTTTATTCAGCAAAATTCATTCAGAAATTGACCAACATATAAAAAGTAAAAGAAAACACACACAAAAAAAAACATAAATAATCAGGTTTTTTTTAAACCAAAATTGAAAAGACCAAATATATAAAAATATTTGAGGGCAAATATCAGAACAGTCAAAATCTTTCAGGGCCAACTTTGCCTCAAGAAGTTCCAACCTTAGTTTGAGTACCACTACATAACTCATGAAAATAAATCAGGTACCTATCAGTATAAAAAAAAAGACACATTCATTTGTCCATTTTTTTCTCAACTACATTTGTACATTTTATATGTTATATTTTGCTCAATTTTCCATGGATTTATATTTCCATGTCAGGGATGGGCACGATTACTGACAAATGTAATCGATTAATAATCGATTACATGAAGGAGTTTTGTGTAATCGATTAATAATCGATTACTCTGATATTTGTATGTAATCGATTGCAATCGATTACTTTATCAAAAGTAATTACATTACTTTTTGATTACTGTCAATTACATGCTACAAAATTATAAAAAAATAATAAAGTAAGTTAAACACAATTATGTTGCTCAATGTTTGTATAGTGGAAATTTAGAACTTTACCAAAAACAACATTTAAAGCATTGTTTCCAAATTTTAAGTTGACAGTTGTTTTCTAGATGGATTCTCTTACTGAGGATCACAAATATTCAAAAATTCTTGAAATTTTGGCTTTCAACATGAATGAGAGATGACATCGCATTGCATCAAACACTTATATATATTGTAGATTTTTTCATAAATTTTGCTTTCATACTGACTTAAGTTAGCTTTTTGTTTTTTACTAATTAAAAACAGGTATATTTTAACATAGTTAATTACAATGTTGGAATTTTCCTCTGAAAAAAAAATATGTAAAAATAGTAGAATAATTAATTAGTTCAGCTAATTTTAAAGATCGAAATTTATAATTATAATGACATGCCTGAATTAATCCTTTTGTTTGGATAACCACCCTAATTACAGGTTATTAAACTGCCAATGGAGTACAATTTATAACCTGGGGCAAAATAATGTAAATCTCCTTCTTAATTAGACATAATTGAAATGAAAACAAAGTCTGCATCTTATTGATTAGAAGTCTTTGATCATCTGATTAGTAAAGCAAGAAGTTTGTTTAGATTTTTTTATTCTCTATTCAATTTATAAACAATATATATTTATAGTGTCAAAATGGGATACACATATCTATTTCTGAAAAAGAATTTCAATGCATAGCTATTGTTTCATTGTTGTAAGGATTTTGTGTACTTTCTTAATTTTTATATCATAACATTATAAGGAATCAACTGTGTATCTATTCTATGCTAAAATTTCAACTCTTATTGAAAATTATGCTATAAGGAATTTTAATACAAATAAGCTTACTACATTAATGTAGTACATAACTTAACTTAAGACTCATTTCTTATTTTAATATAAAAGGTTTGAATTATTGACAAGCACATAAATCCATTTGTTTTGAAAAGCTAGATATAAAGTAAAATTTGGTAGGGGATCTGGTTGATCATATTGCAGCTTGAGACAAAAGATAGAAATAAGGCAGTTGATAAACTCTTATGTCATTTTAATACATTCTATTTTATCTGTACTATAAAGTGATGAAAACATATACATATTTTCATTTAATATAGGTTATATTTCATCAAACTATTTTACTAAAGTAATCGAAATGTAATCGAAAAGTAATCGATGATTACATCATAATTTTTGCTGTAATCGATTAAATTACGATTACATGTAATCGCAAATGTCTTCGATTACAGATTACTATCGATTACTGGGGAAAATGTAATCAATTACAATCGATTACGATTACAGATTACAATTACCCCATCCCTGTTCCATGTGCACCTAATTAATTTCATATTTGAATTAAAGAACCTTTGTGAGCACGCTCAAATACCCCACACCCCCACATTGTCACTTGGCAAACAAAATATCACCAGATCCATAAGTTCAAAGACTCATAACTGCTACAAACGTCATATGATAAAAATTTCTTGTGGATATGCACATCAACATAGTATGCTCTTATTATCTACAAAGTTTCATGAAGTTCTGTTGTGTGGATTTAGTGGAGTTGCGATGACAAACTATTGCAGTAGTATATTAAGGTCAAAATTCTATGTTCAAAGGGGCATACCTCCTAAAACAAAAATTGAATCATTATTTCTTGTCGATATGTACATCTACACAGTATTGTCCTTGTTATCTACAAAGTTTCGTGAAATTCTGTTTTGTGGTTTCAGAGGAGTTGTGATGACATGAACAGGACTGACAGACGGGCGAGTCAAAAACATTATAAACGACGGAACGGATATAATCAAGAATTGATAATATGATACTCAATTTAATTTTTTTTTTTTATATCAGCTGAGAAAGACAGGCAACTACAAGATAATATTCCTAATCATTTGCTAATTGACATCTCCATAGGTCATAACTCCTGGTCAAAATCTGTCATGAAATGTATGTGCATGAAAGACAAGTTTCGATGTATTTTTTTTATCTAAAAGGGACACAAACTCTTGCAATTATTTTATGATGAAAGACCACTACAAATTCAACTGAGGTATTATTTCATAAATCTTTTAAAAAAATGTTATAATAGAAATGTAGCCTTGAAGGCCCTGGAAAGGTGGATTGAAGCCAGACAATTTTATGTTCTCTGAAATACATAGGTTGGTAATTGCAATTCATATCTTGGAAACATTATGTAACAAATACTGCTAATTGCTATTACAATAAATTCGTATACTATAGAAGTCTACATGGAAAAAATTGTTATGTGTACCTCTCCCGTTGGCTGTACATCTGCTTCTTGTGTTGTCACAACCTCAAAGTATAAACCTGCAACCCAAATTAAGGAAAACCATACCATATGTTTAAATCTGTGTCAACTTAAACTATAATATAAATCTATAATACAAGATCCGAAAATAGTAAAATATCATTAAGGATTGACCAATCAAATCCACACCTTTCAACCCTCGAAAATATAATATTTGGAGATCCCATAATGAACCTCTCCTCCCCAAGAATTGCGAAACTCTATTGAAGGAGAGAAAAACAGGAAAATCTCATGTTAGGCCCAAGAACACAGTTATTTCATTGTGCATTTCTTTTAGACAATAAATTCAAATTAAAAAAATCGCACCTGCTCTATCTCAAAAAGATTATTACAGTGTATTGTATAACTATTGGGACAAATAATTACAGAAACTTCTACCAGCTCTAACTCAAAATATTGACAATTCTGTGTTAAGGGGGTCTAAAATTCCGTTTGACAGCTTCAGACATACTAATTTTTGACCTTTTTTAACTGGACCAAATTACTTACTCAGCAGAAAGATTCAGCACCCAAATTTTTTTAACATGTAATTTCATCCCCTTCCTTGATATTGCATGTTTAAAATATCAAGAAATAAATTGGGAAAGTGTACGAACAAAAATTGCAAGTTATACACTGTTCACACTAGGGATTATATTTGTAGACAACGAAAACCAAAGGACGATAACTGTGTCCTTGGTCGTTGGACCTAAAACACCTTTTAACGCCTGCAAAAGATAGAGTTTTATCCTTTCATACAAAAAATAAAACATTGTAGTCAATTATTATAGTTAAAAAAAATCAATTAAATATTTGTAGTTTTTTTATATTATTCTGTTCCTTTAATTGTCTGCTGTTTTATCATAATTTATTTTTTTCTTTTATGAAATGCACATCATACAAAATCTCTTCCAAAGAAATTTGAATTGGGGTTATCTCCCCTAGACTACTGTTGAAGGTTAACATGTGTGTTATTCCTCAATGAGTTTAAAGGTTAGGGAAATTTAATTTGCTTCTTTGAATTGCATAAAACAAACATAAAAAAGACTACAATCCTTCCTTCCCTTTACCCTCTCAATCTGTCGATTCAGGAGAAGACTTTTTGACAGATCACAGCAATGAAAGCCACCAAATGATTAAGATATGTCATCATGGCCCAAATGGTCAGATGATATAAAAATAAGATGATGTGGTATGATTGCCAATGAGAAAACTCTCTATCAGAGACCAAATGACATACCAGTTATTGAAGTTAACAACTATAGGTCACTGCATGGCCTTCAACAATGAGCAAAACCCATACTGCATAGTCAGCTATAAAAGGCCCTTTAATGACAAATGTAAAACAATTTAAATGAGAAAACTAAAGGCCTGATTAATATACAAAACTAAAAACAAATATGATAAAAATGACACCCACTGATCACAGGCTAAGTTGATAAGCCGATATAACATGTAGTAATAATGAAAACATCATTACACAAAATCTAATATATATGTGTTCACTAATTTTCTTGAATCTGGTAAGTTCCATATCAATTTTACTTAGATAAAAATAAATGTAAAATAGCTTGTAGGTGATGAGTGTACCTTAGATCTACCAAGTTCCGCCAGAGTTTTGGCCTCAACAAAACCTTTTTTTTGTATTAAAACAGCTACTGTCAAAGACGATATCTTCACAGGTGGTTATTTTCCTGATACACATGTATCAATGCATAAAATGTGTGCTGTTACATGTGTTATTAAATTCATGCATCAAACAGTAAATGCAACCTTCACATCTCTATTTTTTATTTGTACAAACTCCGTGATTGATTTCTGTGCTGGCATAAGGTCACTGAATTTTAATCATGTGGCAGTCCAGAAAAAGGTATTTTAGACTGACGCTATAGACCAGTGAATACAAGCAGGGCTCACGGCAGGCGACTGGGGCGACAAAGTCGCTTTCCCATCCGTCACTTCGCTTTGCTCAACAGTCAAAAGCCAAATCTAGTCGCCCTGTTGTTCACGATACTCGCTTTCAGTCGCTTTCATCATCGGCAATATTCAACATCTACCAAGTCAATGAAATAGCAATTTTTCATTTGAAAGTAAAGAAATTCAAAGACATAAACGATTTATTTTCTTTAGAAAAGAGGTTAAAGCACTGATTTTAAAGTTGGTTGCATGTTATTTTCATAAAGACAATTTTTTTATCACTTCTGGTACTTGTTACGCGAGAGTGTACATCAAATCATTCTTACTTTCGGCAAAATAAAATTGATCCCAAAAGGAATAAATTGCTTTGCCAAGCGCATGTGCAGCTGGATACGACCACAGAGGTCCAACCCTGAACAGTTGGGGCAAAAATGGACACAATATTCACACTTGATACTGGTCTGAATTTGGATTGTAATTAATTAAAACACATAATAGGTTTCTGACACAGAATAACTGTAGTCAAAGAACTTGAATTGGTTACCTGATTTGAATTTATATTTATTTTTTTGTTTTTGTATGCTGTTGCGAATTAACCCCCTCCCCCCAAAAAAAAATTTTTGTTTACCCCCCCCCCCCCCTCCTTTTTTTGCAAAAAAAAAAATATTTGAAGAAATTTTCTTTTTAATTTCTGAAATCTTGAGAACAATATGTCGCCACCCCCCCCCCCCCCCCCCCTTTTTCCAAATAAATTCTTTCCCTCAAGATATGGTCATAATCTCAATTCAAATTTCCAATGGAGTTTGCAACCATAATAACCCATTTAAATACATCATAAAAGTCTTTAAATACTAATAAATAGAAAATGACATACATAATCATGGCTAAATTTTAAATTACCTTCATCAGCATTTTTTAAATAGTAACTTCTAAAAATAAATGGACAGCTTATCACCTCAAGAGAATTACTTAAGTACAAAAAATAATAAAATGTTGTGTTTGAATTACCTCCCTTGCACTGCTTTTAAATTATTTTTTGTACTTAAGTAATTGTCCATTAACCAGGACACCCTTATTTTTCCCCTTTATTGCCCCTAATTCCTAAACGGTTTGAGCCATAACCCCCCAAAGCCAATTCTTACCATCCCTTTTTGATATGGAAACTTGTGGTATAATTTTAGAGAGATCCATACACCATTCCACAAGTTATTGTCTGGAAACTAGAAAAATGCTTATTTGGGCCCCTTTTTGGCCCCTTATACCTAAACTGTTAGGACTGTAACCCCCAAAATCAATCCCAACCTTCCTTTTGTGGTTATAAACCTTATGTTTAAATTTCATAGATTTCTATTTACATTTACTTCTGGAAACCAAATGTCTTCAGACAAGACGACATGATACCAATATACGACCGCAAAATTTTTGGTGGTCCTATAAAAATTACACATTCAACAAGCATGAACATACTTTTGGTTAGATCTACTTGATTAATGTATATATTTCCATGTATATGCATTGTTTCAATTAATAAATTAAAGTTGCTCAACTCTGGGACTATCACACTAATATAATTATATTAAATCCAAGCTTAACTGTGTTAAATAAAACTGTTAAATCTAAATATTTTTTTAATGAGAAATACTTAATTTCATGAACATGATAACAGAGTAGTTTTTAATTGAATTTTAGTTGATATAACAACTTTCTTTTCCTTTCTGATATAAAAAAAAAATCTTTTTTATTATTGCCAGATGTTTGTTTTTTTCTGACAAGAGGACTAATATGATTGTGCAACTAGATATGATAAAATTAAACAACTTTGAATTTGAAATGTTACTTTAATTGTATACCCAGGTACAAAATTGAACAATATAAAAAAAATAAGATACATATGGCTCTTTGTATTATAAAGACCAAACATTGTAGCACCACGAGCAAACGAGCACTTCTTTTTCCAATCTCACCACTTCTCCCTCTCAGTTTCAAAAAGAGAAGTCACTTCTCCCTATGATTCTGAAGTAGTGTGAGCCCTGACAAGATAATGCTTTGTAGCATTGCACTAGGTGCAGGCAAATTTTAGGTGGACCAGAAGAAATTAATTTCAACTGGCCATACTTGCAAGGCTTATGTCAGTTATCATGAAGATCCCTGTAAACTTTTTGTGTTTGGATATTTACACACATTTTGCATGATAGCTGAATAAGCAAACATAACTCCTGTGGGAAAATTTCTGATTTAAATGTACAGTACATATTGATAAAATTAAGATACAACTGACCAATAGCAAGGAAATTTAACACTTATATAATCTTTAGGTTGTTATCAAATATTTTGGGATAAAATTTGTTATTACCATGTGGATTTTGAAACAGCTGTATTAGAACATCTTTGACTCCTGATATGGTATCATTTCTCTGTCGATGTGCTAATTTAGAAGGCATAGAAGTCAGATCAGTTCCCCTAGCAATCTCATGTCCACACTTCCTGCATAGCAAATAATCTGTAAAATATACATATGATATCAAGATCAAAGATCGTATTTCATAGGATATTAACACACAGGTGTGTAATACCACCATTGTTTTTCCCTAATTAGTCTTTGTTAAATTTGCACTTTTAAAAAAATTGTGCAGAATTTATCTTTGTTTCATACATGTCAAATAAAGAAATACTTGCATTTGGCATGAGTAAAGTTTTATCCTGTCCAGTACTACAGACAAAATTTCACATAACATTTCATTGCATATAAGATAATAACCATCACTGGAAGTTAACCAATCAAATTTTCACCCCTTTTTTTCCTGTTTACAAGATTTAGTAACCATGTAACCTCAAGTCCAAAATATTTTATAGAAACACCTAATTAGAAAAGAATGTGCTTTGAAGCATCCACGATATATGTTTATGACTCAGAATTTTTTTTACTGCAATGAAATGTAGAATTAATTTCCTACAACTGTTGGAGAAGACGTTACTAAGTTGAAAAACTTGTGTCTAATCCATTTGTCATTTTTGAACAATAAAATATGTTTAAACTACAACTGTCAAATTCAAGGAACTATTTTTTTTTTCGACCCTTTTTCGTATGCAACCGGATGTGACATACTATGATTTGGTGGTATTACACCTAAATATGCTAAATGCATCATTTCATGAAAATTTTTGTCCATTGTTCAACAATCACAATAGTAAACATGGTAAACATGGTAAATGCATGCAATAATATCTGATTTTTCAGTAGTCATTAGAGTATAATGGGGTGCTTAAATATAAATAGAGAATGGACAAAAAAAGAACAGAGAAACATTGCTTTAAATCAAAGAATACAGAATGAAAACCCCATCTACGTGTTCAAACAAGATTTAACTACCAAACAGTTAAACACGCAGACTATTCTGGAAGAAATACCTCTTAATTAACAGTTTTTAAACATGAAAGCAAGTTATTCTAATTAAATGTGAAAAGGGAACATAATTCTGTCAAATTATAACATTTTGTACTTTACTATTAATCATTTTTTAAAGACAATCCAATAGATTGATTGATTGATTTTTGGTGTTTTAACGCCACTTTTAAGCACCGCTTTTGGGCTATTTCGTGGCGGCCAGTTTTTATTGGTGGAGGAAGCCGGAGTGCCCGGAGAAAACCACCGACCTTCGATAGGAAAACTGACAATCCTAGTCAATTAAGATTGGAGTCGAGTGCACCCGCACGAGCGGGGTTCGAACTCACAACCTCAGTGTTGACAGGCTAGTGATTACAGTAGTAACTACTTAGACCACTCGGCCACCAAGGCCCCTTACAATCCAATAGATATAGGAAGATATGGTATGAGTGCCAATGAGACAAGTCTCCATCCAAGTCACAATTTATAAAAGTAAACCATTATAGGTCAAAGTAAGGCCTTCAATGTCGGGCCTTGGCTCACACCACACAGCAAGCGATAAAGGGCCCCAAAAATTACTAGTGTAAAACCATTCTAACGGGAAAACAATGTTTAAATATTTTTATGAAAACCTCATGTTTCACCATCACCATGATCACTGTGACAGAGGGTTACTATAATTAGTTATTATTGTTTTTTGTATACCATTGTATCCACAAAGGTTATCGAAAAACATAGTCATATACCCTGCATTTCAAGTATAGAAATTAAATTCTGTATGTTGAGGAAAGTAGTTGGTCAACAGTGGAAACATTTGAGAAACTACTCTTCATTTGGTGGGCTGCCCCAAAAATAGATGCAAAATTATCTCTAGCAACATCCAAAGTCTCACTTCCATATTAAAACAATAGAAAACACGAAAAATAAGTTTTGACAAATTGATATGCAGATTTTCTATCCCACACTATTTTTCACAAAAGTTCTATTTAAAAAAAGCAAATTATTTTATAATCATGATAATAATGATAATAGTAATAATGACTTAAAGAGGGTGACTCAATTAGCATTCACTAATCTACAAATGTACCTTGCAGCCCTCACAAAAAAAATACAGAACAGGTACTACAATTTTTTGAACATTCAATTCAACTTTCACACTAAATGATTGTCTGTAGATCAAGAAAAACAAAATGATACATTATACACAATCATTTAAAAGACATGATAGAGTTAGAGAGTCGTTACATATCATTCATAGTTCAAAAATCTACACATTTTCTTTTAAAAGTACCAAGATTTTCACATAGTTTTATTTCGTTTGGTAGTTTATTCCAAAGTATTGAGGAGCTATATGTGAATGATTTTTTTCATCAAATTTGTATTAGGCCTCACTACAGCTAGATTATTGTTTGCAGAAGATCTTAAATTTCTGCAGTGTAGGCTGTTTATAATTGGACAACATATTTTGTTACGGTAATTAAGTGCTTTATTATTGAGAATTATATGAACAAGAATCCATTTATGATAAGAAATCCTAGATATGAAATTCAACCATTTTAGCTCTTTAAATAAATTTACAGTAGGTGTTAGTGTTGATTGGTGCATCCAGTCTCTTTTCTGCATCTTAACAATTCTTATTCAGTTAGGGGTACTACTTGTACAAGTTTATTTTATTTACATGAAGAAGTAATTGTAACATACTTATATAAGTAAATTTGTTATATTCATATTTTCTTGTAAGGTTAGCATAATCTCCCCTTAATTTTCTCAAAATATTTACTTGTATAAGTAATTTTTTTTACACTCCCTAAAATTCTCAAGTTTTGGGATGTAAAAAACATGGGTTAATCAATTTTTCTCTGGTTAGCTCATATTTTTTTTAATAGAGTTCAATGTTTCATCTCATTAATTCAACAAAGAAACTAATTTAGCAAAGATCTTAAGTAATTGTGCAAAGACTTCAAAAATTGTAACTTGGAGGCTTGTAAATGAGCAGTGTTTTGAAGATAACAGACAAATGAGATTTTCATTGTCCATGTAATTACGCTTAAATGATAAGTAAAGGCATCTGCAAAGGATACCTAATTAAAAATTCTATTAGAGCAAAGAAGTCGTGAGAAATTCAAGAAAAGAAGATAGTATGACTTTTTTACTTATAAAGGTAAAAAAAATCTGAATGTCTATGGGACATAACTACATGAACTATATAAGCCATTCAAATAATTTACCTATACAAGTAAATTCAATACACTTGTATAAGTATCTCACAAATTTACTTCTTTAACTACAAGTATATCATTGTATAATTTCTTTAAGGTTCGTCATAACAAATGGACAAATATGGCCGTATTTTCACCTCAAAAACTACTCTGTGTACAGGCTTACCTGTGCAGTTTGGAAAGTTTTAAGGCCTGGCATCCACTAGATGTATAAAAGTTAAATTTATTTTGCATATCAGAAATATAAAATCTTTTTTGGATTATGATGGGCATTTTTTTCCGTTCCTGCTGAAGGTGTAAAAATAAACTAAGTTGGGATATAACTTTGAGATGCTCCATCTCAGGTAACAACTGATTTGTACTGTATTGATTGTCCTTGATTGGCATGGACAATAGATATCTACACATCTATAGGTGAGATAAAGGTAGTAACTGAGTGGACAGTATCAAATGCAATTCAGGTGTTTGTTTATTTTTACACCTTCTGCAGGAAGGAAAAAAAATGCCCATCATATTCAAACAAAGATTTTATCTTTCTGATATGCAAAATAGATTTAACTTTTATATATCTAGTTGATGCCAGGCCTTAAAACTTTCCAAACTGCACAGGTAAGTCTGTACACAGAGTAGTTTTTGAGGTGAAAATACGGCCATATTTGTCCATTTGTTATGATGAACCTTAAATAAAACCTTGTACAAATAGTATCCCTGACTGTTAGTCGGTGTTCGTAAGTTTTTGCAAACTTTAAAGCTTTAAGAACCTGTTATATCCTCTGTTATACAATGTACACTGTGTATCAATGTGTAAACTGACAAAAACAAAACAAAATAATGTAAAATTTGATGCAAAATTGCTTTCATGGAGGCTGACATCTTTGCAATGAACTCTGGGATTTGCTAATTGTTTATTACTTTGACAGTTGTCACATGTTTGACCGATTTAATTTGGCTGTTCTAGTTAGTTTAATTACCCCTAGTAGTTGACAGTTAACGGAGATTTACATTAAGAAAATTAAGAATATGTATAATTTACATTATATCTGATGGTTTGAGCTGACATTTAACGAAGTCATAAACCTTTTTTCTTAATAATTAGTTACTGTTTGCTGAAATAAATTACGTAATTAACAATGGCGGGAGTACATGATAATCTCTATAAACACCATGATGAAATTGATTGACAGGTGCGTTGTGACAAAACAAACCAATAAAAATCGGTTCAACGTTTATTCTAATAAATCTGAGTAGCTAGTGTGATTGTCAACATTCTATTTATCTAAAATCATTTGAAAATGCAAACAGAAGCCAAGAATAAATACATATTTGTCAAAATATTTCTAAATTTATGTCCTTAACCTTGTTGCTATTTTGAGTTACCCAATGACATTTAGGAGGTGTGCGATTTTAAGCTAATAGTTCACAGTGGTTGAATCATGTGGTTTTGTTGATACCCAGTGAAGCTCCGCCTATTAACAGCACCAAAACAAACCGGTGGAAAGACCGGCATATGTTTACATTTGACAGCTGATTTTGAGCAACAGATTATTCAATGAATATACCATTTTAAGTGCTAACTTCTAAATATTTTTATGTTGGATATATAACTTATTATATATGAAACTATGTTTACTAATCGGAGACTAGCAAAACGGTCTATTATAGGGACTAAAATCAGTGCTTTGTGGCAAGATGGCCGTTATTATCCAGGGAGCATCCAGAATTACACAGCTGAAGAAAGTATGGTATTTGGATCAACATACGTCATACAGTTTGACGATGGACACAGGAAAGAAGTGCGTGCAAATGAAATAATTGGACCTGGATTTCAAACTCTCCCATCTGTGAAACTTAAGAACGGCCAAAAACTTTATTTAACTTTGAACGGTCGTGAGGTCCCAGGAATGGTCATTGATCACGACAGAGAACATGACGTTGTGGTTATTAACGTAAAAATGTCAAATGGCGATGAATCGGAGATCGAGAGAAAAACGGACGAATTGAGACTGATAGAAAGTAGGAAATCGGCAAGACTTGTTGATCAAGATACCGATTACTCTAAACTTGCTGACTTGACACTGAACACAAATGAAAACAAAAGAAGCAGAACAGTTTCACACGTGATAGATGTGCCATCAAAAGTGTAAGTTGATTTTTTTTTTGTATCTTATTTGGTATTACGTATATGGCTTTAACCTTTACTTTGTAAATCCTTTTTAAGTTTTACTTCTGAAGAATATCTACAAATGTATTTAAACTCCTGATCATGTCCTATTGCCTGTGTCTAAATATAGTTCATTTATCTGACAAAAAATCGTAAAATACAATACCGGCTTAAATTCTGTGTAATTAACTAATACATGTAATAGGAAATACGTAGATTTCTTGGTGTTATGAAATTAATTCAGTAAAAATACCATTTACGGTAATATACTTATATATTTGTACATGTACAAGTAGCTGATCAACATCCTTTTAATTGGCAAAATTAGTGTACCGATAAACTATTGGTCACAAATATGATTTTCGATGGAAGAAAAAATGTTTGGCATTTATGTGAGCATAATTTTTTTTAAAAAGTCGATCGTAAAAAAATTAAGATCAGACAAAGTCCATCCTCCATGACAGGAACCAGGAGGAGATTTTACATGGTGACTAGGGGATACCGGTATGTGTGTGTAGGTCATTTTATATGTATTTATGTAACAGTTTTAACATTTGAAACTGCCACTTGAAAGCAGAGTTTGCTAAAACTGTGTCTCTGCTGTATACATTTGTAACTCTATAGAACATGTACATACATGTGCATGTATATATATATATAGTTTATATAGTTTTTTTCTTTAAAACCTAACTTTTTTTTTAGAAAAAAAAGTTAATCCAAAAGAAACAATTTAGAGAATAATTTAAAAGTAATTTTTTAGAAAAACGTGGTTTGTATGAATTCGTATAACCGGGCATTTGTACACATTATTTTCAGTAGACATAGAGGTCCAAACATTGAACGTGAGGATCAGAATAACAGCCAGACAGATGATGATGTAGAAATGGACGATAATATCGCGGCAATGGTCCTAACGAGTTTGTCCTGCAGTCCGGTATCTCCACACTTCCATGGGTCATTATCAGGTATAAACAAAGTTTCTGTGTATGTTCAATGCATAAGTTAAACTGTGGTTCTCTTTCGCTATCAAATTGTAGCAATTCTAAGCGAGACGTTAAGTATGCTGTTTCCGTTGGAGATGGCAATGTCAAAAATATATGTCTGTGTTAACAGTTCATTGGTACTTAAACTGAAGATTAATGTTGTAAAAAAAATTAATTACATCACTAAGAAATTTTGACATGAGAGCGTAGATTTTGTTGAAAGTCATATATATGCAGTTTATATGCAAAAAAAAATAATAAACCATTCATTTTTTATTAAAACAGAAAAATCCCACTTGTTGTCTAGCAGTGCTAACAGTAGTGGTTTCCATTCCGAGCCTAGAAGTGATCCCTCCCCACCCCTCTCTAGTCATTTGAGTGAAAGTTGCCCAATTACGGCGGGGTTGTTTTTTGGACCCATGGGGAAAGATGAAGGAATAAACGAAGATGACGACATGGAGAACAGTCCCGAACCAAAGAGAAAAAGAAGTTTGGTAGGTTTATTTGTCATAGAAACAAATAAATGCATGTAGTGTAATTGTGTCAAATGTTTTTTTCAATCGGTTATTAAATCAATGGAACAAGAATTCCTTTTGCGTGCCAGTTGGCAGGCTATCAATTGTCAACAACATCTTGCAAACTTTTAATGAAAAATTCTTTGTGTGACGTAGACGCCGCATCAATAGAAAATAATTCCCTTTCTGCGCACTTCACTTTTAAACTTTTAAACCCTTTTTACATAATAGTTATTTCAGGATTGGTTGTTTGTCGTTGTGAATGTGTATTACGTTTGTTATTTGTTTACATTTATGACCTACTTTAAGTCAGCTGATCATACCTTTATGCCGGCAATCTATTTTAGGAAGAAAAATTGATTATTTAAAATCGGAAAACCTTTATTTATATTTTCATTTTGTGTATATATATATATATATGCAAAGGTGATTGGTTTTGTCTATCATGTGTACCTGCGCTGATTATGTGATGTAATTAGGATTAAAGGTGGCTTTTTTGCTGAAAGGGTCAACGTTCTTGGCCAATACACAAAGTCAGGTGCCAATCATGTGATCACGTGGTATTATCATGTAAACACGAAGCATAATAACAAAGGCTTAGAGTTGAACTTTGCTCTGTTTGAAAAAAAAAATGATTAGGAAATTAATGAATTAAAATGAGGTTTGTTCCAAATATGATAAGATCACATGCATTGATTCTTTGCACAAATCCAGAGCTATTATAATGACATATGTAAACTGACCGAATTTTTATTGTGCAATGGAGCGTAACAAGACGTATCGGTTAACATCCCGAGTCAGCAGTTTTTAAGTGGCACATCGATGTAACAGTACACTAACCCCTAGGCAGTTAATAGAACATGATATTGACATAATTGTGTAAATACACATCACCGCTTTATGTTGCATTTAAACATGAAGCTATGAACTATAAGAGGATGTTTAATATTTTATAATTTTTGCATTGTGTATATATTTGTATTTTATTGTTTTTATGCCTTCAACCCTTAGCTTTAACCCCTCGGGTATAAATGTATATTTCATTAGATAAATGAATATAAGCTACAGAGTTCTCTCAAGTGCAAACCACATGCATGAACGAGACAGGATTTAAAAAAAATATATTTATATAAAAGAGCCCATAGAGAGTTAAATACCGAATTTGGTCTTGGATTGTTTGAGGTTTTTTGCTCCAAAATTTTAATGTTTTAACTTTTAGATTTTTTTTGGATGGAAAGCAGATGAAATGGAAACATATGAAATGCTTTATGGTCTTTGTGGAGAGTTGTCTCATTTGCAATCATACAGTATCTTAATTATTTTTATATAGATATACAGTTGCCAAAAAGATGAAGCGGTCTTAAATCTCCAACTTGCATCCAAATATATGAGAACATCTTAATTTTAAAGTTAAAGACCTGCATATGAGACTACTATGCATTTCAATAAAACATTTCCCAATGGAAGACTTTAATTTATAACTAGAATTTAATATACATGATATAAAAAGGGTGAAAAAGTTACTTTTCTTGATTCATGAAAATACTAAAAGGCGTATTTTTTTTCAAACCAGGACCATTTTCACAAAGTCTCAATGTATTCTAGAATTCATAGTCACTGTATCACAGCTGAATATGTCATTTGTATTTTGATAATCTGGCAACACTTTATGATATTTATGAGTATGCAATACCATCCTTCATTATAAAAAGACAGTTTTTACCATTTAGATATATTTTGGCACATTTTCAGTATTTATCAAAAGAGAAAAATGTATGTATTAGCATAAGGACAGCCATTTGAAACAAAATATAACATTGATATATCAGGAATGTTAATTAAGATGTATTTATATATATATACAAGTCTAAATTGAAAACAACGTTCAAACCTATGATTGCGTTGGATAAAAACTGCAATTTTTATACGTGTGCATGCAAAACAAATTTCTTGATAGAGGGGTCTAAATACAGCACAAACAACATTCTCCAAAAGACCAAAAAAGTGAAAAAGTATATTTAACAAAACGCATTTGACTAACAGGTCGAACAACAGATGTTCTTAAACCCTGCTGATATATATATATATATATATATACAAGTCTAAATTAAAAACAACGTTCAAACCTATGATATATATAGCATTTTGATTTATAATGAATATTTGCAAATTTGTTAAAAATTGTTTTATTTAGACTATACAATATAGAGTCCCTTAATCCACTAGGTTTCTAATGCAACTGTCCAATTTTAACCATGTCAGGGCAGCAAATGTAGGAATTTACATTTTGAATATTTGATTTTAGGGGATGACCAAAACTATGTTCCAATGTACTTGGAAAGGATGTGGGAAAGTTCACAACACAGAATCTGCAATAGAAAAACATGTCAGGACAAACCACTTGGGGTATATATATATATATATAGACTCATATTATGTTGAGACCAGTATGTTAATATAACAGCACTGAGCAGACAATTGAGTGCTTGCTCACAAGAAGAATAAATATACATTTCAGTACTGTATATTGGGAAATTCAGCAAATATCTTACACTATTTTCTGGTAGATATTGACACCAAAATTTACACTACACGAACAATATACTGTTCATTTATGTAAATGCATTCAAAAAGGCCATGAAATGCAAAAAATATCCACAGCGAAAATTTAACAAACCCCCAAACAAAACCAGACACAAAAATAACCTAATATACTGTAATCTAGGTGTTATTACAGGAATATACTTGGAGGAAGGCGTATATGCTGTGACATTACCTACAATGTATCTATTGCTGACCATTATAATAAAAAGATTGACTTATCTCCCTTAGACTATAAATGTTAATCTTTAGTTATATATGCAATGTGGAATAATTGTTTTTTTTTAAAAGAAAACCTTTGGAGAACGATGTTCAAATAAAAAAAGAAAAATTGATAAGAAAAAGAAACACTCTTTTGATTGTAAAGACAGGAACAAATATTTGATTGCAGGGGCAAAGATTCCGATTCTGACATGTCTGACCATGAAGAGGAATTCTATTACACGGAGATAGAAGTGAATGTTGACAATGTAACAAAGACTTTCTCAGATATGTTCACGTCCTCACCTCCAGACAATAATTACATGGACCCTGTACAGTATATCACAGACCATGATTATCAGAGAAAAATTGATATACCAGAACCTAAACGGGAAACAGTTGATATGAAGGTAAATGCTATAGAAAAATGTTAAGATATCTGTCAGCAGCAGGTTATACTGGAAAGTCTTGAGATTTTGCAGCATTTTGATTTTTTTACTGGTTTTTTTCTAGGGTAACAGATAATTGTATATAGGAGAAACAACAAATTGTTTGCGTAGAAAGACAAATATTTTGTACATATCTTCATGAACAGGAAATACCCTGTCCTCTGTTCTCGAGGGACCACAAAATTGCCATTAAATACACTTAACTGCGGCCAAGCTTAGCGAAAGGCCGTGCGACATAATCAGTCAAACAAACTTTATTAGATCAACTCGTTAAGGAACGAGTGTTGTCATTGGTCAATTCAAACCTTCGACCTCAAATAAACTCAGTTAAGCCCCGCCCAAGCACACCTGCTAATAAAACAAAACATGCATACTATAAATGATCGAAAGTTGAATGATCACGTACATGATTGTGTACTATGTGCATGTGAAATTTATTTATATTATAATTGTGTGCAAAAGTTCTAATAAGGTCCTTTTGTTTTAAATAAGATTTTTTTTTAACAAAGACTCTCAACAGTTTTCACGGTGAAATATATTGAATCCAACTGTATCCTCTCAAGTAGTTCTGGACTAACCCCGTGCACCTTTTCTATCTGTTAAGTTACATCATCATGTGTTGCAATGAGACCAAATTAGGAAATATGAATGAAATGACCTGAGACCGTAATTAACTACACACATAATTAACCAAATTACATAATATACATATTGCATGATTTTACGGTAAATAGGTTTTGTGTTCAATATTCATATTCTATAGTAAGTATATCACAGCCTCCTCCTCGACCATTAAACGAATCTCGCGTATACTAAACCTTTTTTTATTAATATGAAACTACATAGAAATATGAAAATAGAACCACAAATGACAACTTAAATTTACATACCATTTCATGGCTTTTAAAAACAGGGAAGTTTTGGGATTTTATGGATTTGACTTTGGATAGTGTGTTTTTTTCCCTTCATATTCAGTTTACTCTGGGACATAATATATTTTAGTATAATATATTTTAGTATAATAGTCCCAGGTTTACTTGATTTTGAAAAAAAATCCCGAATTCTAAGTAAATTTGGAGCAGGTAACCATGCTTTCTTTAGAGAAAAATGGAGAAAGCAAACCACTGGCCACAATGAAAGGAAATGTACTTTATACACATGTTTGTAACTCCGGCAATGTAGGTGATGAAGATATTTACATAGGTTTACATAGAAAACCAAGTATTATGTCAAAGAACTCGCTGATTGGTAATGAAAAACAATCAATTGAACATGTTTAAAGAAAGTGTGTTCATTCATTAAATGTATTAATAAAAAGGTGAAAGGTGGGTCCCTCCTTGTACATTTATTTTGTCATCCTTAATTTCTTTATATTTCATTTAACAGTTTATTGTACATGTATTATTTTGTACTTCATTTAAAATAAGCATACTAAATTTGTTAACCTTCAATTTTATATTTTCTCGGTAAATTCATTCAATTCCAAGTTTTGGGAGAAATGTGCAACCCATCATGAATTATTTTTATTATGAGATCTTTATTACATGTAACTACAACATTGTCGGGACAATAAGGTAGGATATAATTGTATCCCGTCAGTGTGAAAGAAATTTAAAAGTGGTTCATTTATTTATCAGTATAAATGTGGCACATGTATTTATCCTTATATTTTTCATAATCCGGTACATGATAATTGGGTTGTTGCAAAGAGAACATTTATAAATAAAAAAAAAATATCACAAGGATAATATTTCGACCCAGTTATTTTTAAATCAGGTGACAACACAGCAGTACACAAACCTGTTTACGTTCGTACTAAAACATAGTACATTCCATTGTCGGTCACCTGTGTCAATTCACGTGCACACTACGATTGTTGTTGTATTTGAATCTTTCAGCCAATGAAATGGGACGTTACAAGTTGTTTGTTTGTGATACGCCAGAATGTTATCAATGAATTATCAAATGCTAAACTTGACTGCAGTTCAGTGTATGATTTTTCAGATTACACTGTATAAATGAATAATTGATATTTTAATGTTTGAAATTTATGAAACAATTTATTCACAACCCTCTGTTTAAGCAGATTGATATTTAATTACAGATAGTTTTAGTAGTCAAGCTGATTAAAAATTGAAAACAGTGAATTAGATCCATTATAGAAGCAAATAAAAAATCCTGCTACTTAAAATATGATTGTCTTTTGACCAAGTATCAACTGTTATAATTTCATGCTCTAACAATTTTCACTTTGTAAATGTAAAGATGTCTCATTTTATGACAATCACTGACAATATAATTTTTTTATTTTCTTAACTTTGTGAAAAAAGTGTATATGCATTGACAAAGTTATCTTATGCTGCCGACACAGAATCAAGTTTGACAATGTCTTAGGCTACCCCAAATAAACTGAATGGTGATCATATGTGCTCTAGAACGGTAATTAGGTAATGTCCTATTAGTGCCACCAGTAAGTATAAGTTATGAAAAATACAAAACTCTGTGTTGAAACCCGACACAGATTAAACATACAATTGCTCGTCAGTGTATAAACCAGATAAAATAGCTATCACATTTAAAAGAAACATATTTTATTAATAAGATGGATGAACATCTCTGTTTGATAGAATGTGATTATAACATGCCTAAATTCAATATTGTGTTGATGAAAAAACCCAATACGTTAAGGAGCTTGGTGGTGAAAAACCCAATTTGATATTTGCTTGAGGGGTGAATTGGAATTAATAATGCAATTGAAAAACTATTTCACTCAATTAAATAAAAAATGGTGGGTAAAAACCCCAATTTGTGAATTCTTATCTGGAGCTCTGTCAGTATGATTTTCTGATATGCATCAATGATATAGATTTATTTTATGAACATTCAAGTATTTCATTTCTTTTTTTTTAGGAGCACAGTTATTCCCATATGCATGCCTCATCAGTGCCGTCAGGTGGTTTCTTTCCACATCAAGAGCTGACAGCTCCTATTTCCATGCCACAGATGAAAAGGTCTTTATCATGGCAGAACAGTGCTAATTTGTCTCCAGTTTCATCTGCTGTAAGTTATTTTAAAACAGTTGTATGTATAGTTTGATACAGTTCAGTACACACAAGGGAGCTCAGTTGATGTTGGGAATTTTAGGTGATTTTTTTATAAGGTTCAATAGATGCCAGAAGTGGATCTAGGATTTGAAAAAAGGAGGACCCAACAACATAGCAACATTTTAAGTAGGACTTGTAAAAAGTAGATGCATTAACAATATATGTAGCTCCATTGGGGATTAAGTCTCCTGTCCCCCTACCTAAATTAGCCTCTGGATACTATACTGTTTAACCTCTGATTGCTTGTATGTGCAAATATATGAAAATAAGGCTCATTTTTCAAAAGTTTTCAATTGTATGCACAAGAAGTGTGATGAAAGAAAAGAAATACTGGTTTTTCCACTCCTTATAATTTTTAGTGTAGGCACAAGGGACCATATGTAAGCTTTTGCCTATTCTGTGCCTACTTGAAAGATGGAATTGACAAAACCAACCCGAGTAGTACCGGTACTAGTGTAATATATGACAGGGTCATAAATCAGTGTGTTGTCACATGGAGTTATTCCTGTTTCACAGCCAATCACATACTGTATAAAAATATTATGGAATTTATCTCTTTTTTTATAGGTTTCATCACCTATTAGAATGACCAAGCTTTCACCTCAGGACAGATTACAACAACACCAAGCACAATCTCCAAAATCTCACATGTTTGGACAATCACCAAAATCAGCGGCACTTCATAAAAAACCACGCAGTGAAGTACGGAAATGTCGGAAAGTATATGGTATGGAAAACAGAGAAATGTGGTGCACACAGTGTAAATGGAAAAAGGCTTGCTCAAGATTTGTGGACTAAAGACCAACTGAACACATTTGATGGGTGGATACTGTTTCAAATTAAAGTGGTGATATTTTGGACCAAGATACAACTCATTGTAAAGAATTGTATCAAGTCTTGATTAAAAAGGTTCTGCAGTGATTTATAGGTTGTATAGTACTCTCTACAGTACTTTTAAAAAATCCTATTGGGATTTGAAAAAGCACTTTTATCTCCAAATTATATCACCACATTTTTAATACATTCTATTATATATTAATTCAGATAGTACCATAGTATTTAAAGAAATCTAGCAACATGGTATCATGAATATGATTGTATCACAACTATTCCACTTAATCTCAAACTTGGAGAAATCTCTTTGACAGAAATGATCTTATAATAAAAACAAATTGGGTCTACCAGGTCTTGACTCTAGATCAATCAAGTAAAAGATATTTTATTAATGTCTCATATATATATGAAACTTAGAATTGACATTAAATTACAAAGCTCAATTATTGATCTCAATATTAATTCATTTGATTCATTTTGTAAACAATATGTTTCTGCTAAAATAGGAAAAGTTTTAAATGAAATAATGTAATGTTTTGAAAAGGTTAGACGTTCACTCTTTGATAAGTGGATCGAACCTACTCAATAAAAATAAAATTATCTCCATATGAACCTTATATCACAAAGCTTAATTTAGCAACAGCTATTTTATGAGTGGTCATAAAGTTTTATTTACTGTTGACTGTTATTACGTATACATAAATTACGTATTTCATATATACCAGTACATTAAACCAGTTGAATGATTATGTATTTTATTATCTGTGATATGTTATTGTAGTTCCCTTGATTAATTAGATGTATAGGACATCTTAAAACAGAAAATCTAAATCTTAAAACACAAAATCTAAATCTTAAAACACAAAATCTAAATCTTAAAAAAAACAGAAAATCTAAACCTGAAAATACAAAACACAAAATCTAAATCTGAAAATACAAAATCTAAATTTTTAAACACAAAATCTAAATCTGAAAACTGAAAATCTAAATCTGAAAACAGAAAATCTAAATCTTAAAACAGAAAATCTAAATCTTAAACAGAAAATGTACTTTATAAATTCAGATTTGTTGTCTTTTGACTAATAATGTAATACCACCCATTTCTCTGCATTTGCCACAATGACTTGACAATTTTGATAAAAGGAATATGGGATAGATGTTCTCATGACAAAAAGTTACATTCAAAGAACACCACTTTGTAATTGTTATCCAAACTCTCAAATCTTCATTTTCACTACTCTCTTTTGTACAATCATGATCACATGTTATTGTTTCATTTCAAAGTTTTATAACAGTAAGAATGATTGTTGATCATGTAACATAGATAATTCTGTAAACTGATTTATCGTAAAAAGACTAGCCTTCTTTTGCAGTCAGAATTCAAGTTCAAGAGAATGAGTGTTCCCTTTAAGTCTTACACTTTCCTTCCATATAGGTGATACAGTTGACAGTATTGTTCTTGATGTTCCAAAAAAAAAAAAGTTTTTGGTCTTATAACTCCCTTTCGGACCATGCAGAGTTATCTCCCATTTTCAGATCGTATCCACTATTTTAAATCTTATTCAATTTCATGAGGGAACGATTAAATCTCAGGTATTTTTGTTAAATTGAATTATTACAATAGTGAGCTTTAATATTTATTTTTATTTGATATGAAATAATGCTTGAATATTTGAAAAAATTGTAATGCATGTACAAATTGTTTTACACTCACTGTATGTTAAGTTACCTGTATTCTATTATTTAGATATTGCAGTGCTACTTAATAATAACCTGATTATAAATGTATTTTAACCATCAATTACATTGAGCTTTTGACATATTTATTATGCAAAGATATTATTCCTTTACTTATTTCAAAAAATGTTAAATTTTGAAGGTTACCATTTTTGTAGACTTTCAACACATAATGAATATAAATTTTTCCTGTAGCCCATTACACTGCATTTATAAATACCACTGAAGTTTAATAGTCTCAAGATCAACAATACTATATTGTTTTTTTGGCTACTTGTTATCAAGGGCAGAAGGAATCAGTTTTGATTGCCTGTAATTGAATAAGATATGTTCCGCGTGATATTGATTGATGGATTAATTATTGGGGTTGAATGCCACTTTCAGCGCTCTTGGCTATATCATGGTGGCCTGATTTTATTGGTTGATAAAGCCAGATAAGCCAGAGTGGACTGCCAACCTTCACCAGGAAAACTGGCAATCCTAGTCAATTGTATTGACTGTTTACAGACTAGTGATCACTCTAGACAAAGTACTTAAACTACTTGGCCACCGAGGCCCGACATAGAATTGAGTTTGATTGGATATCTGTTTGGACAATTACAGACAACAAACTCATTCACACTTATTTTGTATAAAAATTGTAAAATTATTAACATGCTGACCTATATACAGATGATGGTCTTTCAATGGTATTTTTAAATACATTGTATTTTTAATTGTATAATTAAGTTATAAAGGTACATGTAATACATTGACTCAACTCTTAAAAATACCAATTTCCTATGAATAAAAATTTACATTCATCAGATAAAAAAACCCTTTTTCCCTAATAACACAATTTCATCTACATGTAGAGCTTTTCAGTTTGAAAACCTTCAATTGTGAGTCATAGCAATTTTATAAAACGACTTTTAACATGTTTAAAGTTTGATCTTATGATCTTTTCATCACTTAAACATCGACATGCAATGTAGAAGAAAACTTAAGACTGAAAACTTTTTGTTCAAATTCAAATTGATCACTTTATCACTGATAATTTCCTTGAAATCTTTAATTGTATTGAAGACTTGTTGAAGTTAAGCTTCCTTATGTAAAAAAAGTTATGTTATTTATATATGATTTTTATGGCCCTGCCATCATTGGAGGGGCATAAAGTGTTACCCTTGCCTGTATGTCCCAAAATTGGTTTCCATTCTCTAACTTTAGTTTGCCTCAAAAAAATGTTATGAAACTTATAAACAATGCTTATTACCACAAAATACAGATCAGGTTCAAATTTGGGTGGCGTCACTTTTACCATTCTCGAGTTATGTCCCTTTATAACGTTATATGCAGGGGGGGACACCATCTGTGTCCCATGGACAAATTCTCCATTTATTTTCTGTGAAGTTCTAAAATGGTGAGGAAATTAAATTTTTTTATACGACCCCAAAAATTAAAATTTTTTTTGTCGTATATTGGTATCACGTTGTCGTCGGTGTCGTCGTGTTCGTCAGCGTCGTCCGAAGACAGATGGTTTCCGGATAATAACTTTAGTATAAGTAAATAGAAATCAATAAAATTTTAACACAAGGTTTATAACCACTCAAGGAAGGTTGGGATTGATTTTGGGGGTTATGGTCCCAACTGTTTAGGAATAAGGGGCCAAAAAAGGGGCCCAAAAAAGCATTTTTGTAGTTTCAAGACAATAACTTGTGTTTAAGTGTATGAATCTCTCTGAAATTATACCACAAGTTTCCATACAACAAAGGGATGGTTAGGATTGATTATGGGGGGGGGGTTATGGCACAAACCATTTAGGAATTAGAGGCAAAAAAGGCGGAAAAACAAGATTTTTTCTGGTTAAAGGACAATTAAGTCAATTTAAAGCAGTCTAAGGGAGGTAATCCAATCCCAATTTAAAACAACAATGTTTGATTACCTGCCTTACACTGCTTGTAAATTATGTATTAAGAAATGACGATTGTCTTGAGGTGATTAGCTGTCAATTTATTTTTAAGAGTTAGTATTAATTAATATTAATTTTAGCCATGACTATGTATATCATTTTATATTTTAAGACTTGTATGATGTATTTAAAAGGGTAATTATGGTTGCAAATTTTATTAAAATTTGAATTGAGATTATGACTATATCTTGAGGGAATGATTTTTTTTGGAATAAGGGAAAGGGGAGGTGAAAAACAATTGGGGTTGGGGGGGGGGGGGAAATAAGAATTTTTTGGGGACTCTATTTTTTCTCATTTCAGATTTCAGAAATTTAAAAGAAAATTTCTTCAAATATTTTTTTTGGTTGTTAATATTCAACAGGATAGTGTATTGAACAAAAGCAAAAAATGGGGTCAATTTTATTTAGGGGGGGAGGTGGTCAATTTGCAACAGCATAGTGTATTGCACAAAAGCAAAAAATTGAATATAAATTCAAATCATATAACCAATTTTTAAGTTCTTTGACTACAGTTATTCTGTGGCAGAAACCTATTATGTGTCAAATATTTACTTACAATCCAAATTCAAACCTGTATCAAGCGTGAATATTGTGTCCATTTTGGCCCCAACTTTTCAGGGTTGGACATCTGCGGTCGTATCCAGCTGCGCTCAGCGAAGCAATTTATTAAATCTTGAACTTTATCATAAAACCCTGAATAAACCATTGTGATACACTCTAGAATCTTATAATTGACTAATTTCTAAGTGTAAATATGTACATACTTAAGAGTTAATTTTCATTTCATATATTTTAGATTGCAAATGTCTTATCTTGTCATTTTAAAGGTCAATCTTGTCATTTAAAAACCAATTTTCACACTATTATCCTGTGTACACTGTAATTTAATGATAAGTTTGTCTGTAAAATGTCAGTACATACTTACTATATTTATTTATTTATTTATTTTATCAACACTATGGATTATTAAATTGAACACTCCTTTAGGAATAACTTATATTGTTAGAAAAAAGAAAAAAAATTGCATATCTTTGTTTAAGAGGTGTTTGAGTCATTGATTAATCTACAATAACTAATGATTTCAATTTTATATTGGAAGTTTTCTTGTAGGAATTATTCCAACAAAAATAAAGGTATACAGATAGACTTATAATATAAATATAGGCAATGTCTGTTTTTATTAGACTGTTCAATTAACCCTTGGTATCCTCTCTCTTTCTACTACTATGGGGGTGTTTAATGACCTTGACTACCCATGAGGGTCTCTCCTGATCAGTATGTAAAAAAAGACATCTCTCTTTCTATAGTACAGCTTTATCATTTATTGTACAAAATATGACAAGTTCATGCTGAATTTGGGATTCCTTGCATGTCACCTATACACAGTGATTTTTATTTTGTTTGTTATCAATTTTTAGTGCTGTTTTGATATCCTTGTCTAAATGACGTTGTTGTGTATATTTTTATGACATGTCATAAAGTACTCTTATATTGATTAGATTTAGAATTAATCTTGATGTCCATTGGAGTATTGTCCAGGGCAGTCTATGTATTAGGCAGTTTCTAAAACCATTTATTTATGCATAACCTGCATCTGTGAAATTTGGTTCTTGGGGAATATGCCATTGAGAAAGATGGGGTTTCAGTTAAATTTTAAAAAAAATTTAACTTATAGTGAAAAGAAAACTTTCCAGAGATAGGCGTTCTGAACTTTGGGTAACCCATATCTGTTCTTAAACTGCAGTTTATTATTCATTTTGGTATGCTATAAGACCAGACAATATTAGAATTTTTGTGAATAAAGTATGTGATAGTAAATGCAGAGCATTACCAGAATGATCTCCCTTATACTGTTACCAATGCAGTCAGTATGTGTTTTTGTCCAGTGTTCATCAATTCTCTTTAATAAAAGGTGTTTTTTATGCCCCCGCCGTAGCGGTGGGGGCATTAAGTTTTACCCTTGTCCGTCTGTACATACGTACGTACGTACGTACGTCCGTACGTCCCAAAATTGGTTTCCGTTCTCTAACTTGAGTTTGCCTCAACCAAATGTTATGAAACTTATACACAATGCTTATTACCACAAAACACAGATCAAGTTTGAATTTTGGTGGCGTCACTTTAACTGTTCTAGAGTTATGCCCCTTTATAAATTGAAAAATTGCAAAATTTTTAGTTTCCGTTCTCTAACTTAAGTTTGCCTCAACCAAATGTTATGAAACTTATACACAAGGCTTATAACCACAAAACACAGATCAAGTTTGAATTTTGGTGGCGTCACTTTAACCGTTCTAGAGTTATGCCCTTTATAAATTGAAAAATTGCAAAATTTTTAGTTTCCGTCCTCTAACTTAAGTTTGCCTCAACCAAATATTATGAAACTTATATACAATGCTTATTATCACAAAACACAGATTAAGTTTGAATTTTGGTGGCGTCACTTAAACCGTTTTAGAGTTATGCCCCTTTATAAATGGAAAAATTGCAAAATTTTTAGTTTCTGTTCTCTAACTTAAGTTTGCCTCAACCAAATGTTATGAAACTTATACACAATGCTTAATACCACAAAACACAGATCAAGTTTGAATCTCGGTGGGGTCACTTTAACCGTTCTAGAGTTATTTCAATTTATATTTCAAATATATTATACAGTACATGACCTTTAGTTGTTAACTTCTATGTCATTTGGTCTGTGGTGGAGAGTTGTCTCATTGGCAGTGATACCTCATCTTCTTATTTTTATGTAAGTGATGAGATTTAAAAAGAAAACCACAAGATTAGATCAATTTCTACCTACATACAGATTAATGTTATTTATATTGCCGTGCAGTTAGTTTATTTTATTGAAGACCACAAATGAATGTATGAATGAAATTTTATGTATTTTGTTGTGTGCATTGTAGTAAGATTATTTAGTCTTTCATTTTTATTGAAACCGGTTTTATTTTAACTGTGTGTACATGTTTATATACATATAGGTTTCATATTTTAAATGTGTTCATTGTAAATCTACCCATAATAGTCATCGTAATAGATTGTAGTTCATAAATAGTACCCCTCAAAAATCAAATTTCACTGGTGATAGGGAAACTTCCTTTATAGAGACTTTATTTTTGTAAATGTAAGGCCAGTAATGGCCCGAGAACACAGTTATTTTGTAGTGCATTTCTTTTAGACAATAAATTCAAATTAAAAAAATCGCACCTGCTCTATCTCAAAAAGATTTTTACAGTGTAGTGTACTACTATTGATACAAATAATATCAAAATTATAGAAACTTCTACCAGCTCTAACTCAAAATATTGACAATTCTGTGTTTAGGGGGGCTAAAATTCAGTTTGACAGCTTCCGACATTCTAATTTTTGACCTTTTTTAACTGGACCAAATCACTACTTAACATAAAGATTCAGCACCCAAATTTTTTTAACATGTAATTTCATCCCCTTACTTAATATTTCATGCATAAAATATCAAGAAATAAATTGGAAAAGTGTATCAAAAAAAAATGCAAGTTATACACTGTTCACACTAGGGACTATATTCGTAGACAACGAAAACCAAAGGACGATAACTGTGTCCTTGGACCTAATAGGATAGAAAGACTTGACCAATTTTAATAAAACTTTGCATGACCTAAGCTTAGGCAATTTTAAGATAGTTGGCCAAGTTTCATGGCCATAGGATATATATTATAGAAACTAGGGCCATTTTAATATTGAAATTTGGATGTTTATTTTTGACGTTTAAATCAAATATTTTCAACTGTCAAGATTTTGGCCTAAAATATTTAAATATTGCAAAAATTTGCTTTTTAAATACTCTTGAATTTAATATAATAAGTATTAAAAGCAACGGAACACTCATTTGATTTATCAGATTTATTACAGTTATTCAAAAGTCAAATTTATATGAGCCTGTGCCTGAAAATAGAGATTTTCGAATTAAGGGAAGTCTTACATAAACATGCATTTTTTTCAACCAATTTGAAGTTTTGAAGGTTTTTAACCATACATTATTCTTCCATATATATTAAATGTACTTTAAATGTAAAGAAAAGTTACAAAAACCATACCACATGAGTATAAAATGGTCTTAGGCTATGTAAGACTAAGAATTATTTAGAGTCGATTTAGGCCGTAGCCCATATTTACATATAAAAATGCACACAGAGGCTATAAGGAAGTGAAATTTGTTACTTTTTGCTCATTTCTATGCTAAGATGTCATGATACAAGAAGTCTAATTGCAAAAGGACTCTTGAATTCAACTTTTTTCTGCAGACAGTATGGTCTGATGACCAGTTTTTCACTTTTCAATGGAAAACTTGCATGTAGTTTTAGTCTCATTTGGCATATATTTGAACCACTTACTATCCTAAAGAAGAAAATTATAGTAGCATATGAAATGAATAGGGTGTACTGATCATTGTAAAGTGTTTTTTTTACAGATTTAGTGAAATATTTGTGACGGACTACAGATTTTATGTACAAAGCTCTTCACATTTCACATACATCAAACAGGCCGTTTAACCAGGGACATAAATACAAATATTCTGCACATTTTTTCTGTGATAATCTACTTTTCTCTAGATTCCGAGTTCACAAATGGTTAATTAAATTTGATTTAAGCATAGAAACACAAATATCAGGAACATAAAAAGCTGTCAGATAGAAAGTCAGCATGGCTCTTAGGCATAAAATGGAAACTGCTTTAAAATGCTTATTTTAGCCTTATAATGCCAAAATGGGACATTTTAACAGAATTTCTGTCAAACAAAGATGTAAATCCTTTACTTTTATTGAGTTTGACAAATTGAAACCAGAAAACCATTCAGGAAAGTTGCCAAAGTACAGAATCTACATTTACGGAATTCATCTCTTAGGCCCGAGAACACAGTTATTTTGTAGTGCATTTCTTTTAGACAATAAATTCAAATTAAAAAAATCGCACCTGCTCTATCTCAAAAAGATTTTTACAGTGTAGTGTACTACTATTGATACAAATAATATCAAAATTATAGAAACTTCTACCAGCTCTAACTCAAAATATTGACAATTCTGTGTTTAGGGGGGCTAAAATTCAGTTTGACAGCTTCCGACATTCTAATTTTTGACCTTTTTTAACTGGACCAAATCACTACTTAACATAAAGATTCAGCACCCAAATTTTTTTAACATGTAATTTCATCCCCTTACTTAATATTTCATGCATAAAATATCAAGAAATAAATTGGAAAAGTGTATCAAAAAAAAATGCAAGTTATACACTGTTCACACTAGGGACTATATTCGTAGACAACGAAAACCAAAGGACGATAACTGTGTCCTTGGACCTAATGAACAGTTGTTTACAAAATATCTCCAATATAGAACATTTTTAGTTGCTCTGGTATTTTATCTAAAGTTCGTTTTCTATAAAGTTTTATTGGAATTGTTTTCAAATTATAATTTATGTAGTGAGTTTGCCAATACATATCCAGAGTGAAAAGCATGCTAAAATTCATATTTAAAAAAAAAAAGAGTTTAATTATGCATCAGATATCTTTAATACCACAGCCATCAAAGTGATAAATAAACATAAACCCTACAACATATACAAGGAGATATGATGGCGAAACAGATACCAATAACATAAAAACTCAAAGTTCTTACAATATACCCTTCCAACCGTGTATGCAATTTATCAAATAATAATTAAGGCCTCAATCGTTTAATTTTCATTTCTTTGGAAATAACAGGGTGCAGTCAAGCAAAATCTTATTTTTGATATACTGGTATGTTCCTCCAAAAAAGCAAGGCACTAATAGCTTGACAAATCATCATGCAATCTTTCATGTGCATATGTCACTTACGATGATGAAAATTGACATTTGTATGATGATGAAAATTGACATTATATGCTTCATGATAACATCATTTTGATTCTTTATTAATGAACTTTGAATGAAGTGATTTTAACTCTAGGTTTTAATATTAAGTCTACTTGAAGATAAGACTTTTTGAAGATAAGTCTTTTTGAAGATAAGTCTTCTTGAAGAGTTAACTCCCCTGATTGAATAGTGCATGGTTTCAACTTACATATTTTACTTGTTTATAAAGTATATTTATATATCATTGTTATTCTTTTTTTTTTGAATTTTAAAATTATAGTTTGAACATGTTATTATTGTAAATATGTAAATAATAAAGATTCAAATAAATTGTGAAATACATAATGAAGTTCATTTGTGAGTTATTTTCATCAGAGACATACATGGGCTGATTTAAGATTTTCAATGCTAAAATAATGTCTATTTGTATCATTTCTCTAGTAGAGGAGGGATTTATATCTTATTGTAATCATTATGTCAACTTTTGAGGCATATCCTTTGTTTTTCTATTATAGATATATTTAGTTCTTATAAGTAATTCCCGTTTGTTCTGAGTATGCATGAAATATTCACCACTGAACAAAAAAAGCATTCACAAATAATTTGTTTCCACAAAGTTGGTCAAAATGTCCCAAATTGATATTTCATTCAATCACAGTGAAATGAGAAAAAGATGAAAATAAAATTTCTGTGAAATGAATGAATAATATTTTAAAACTATTTGTAATTTAGATCATTGCAATATGTGTTCACTCTGGTCAACTATTTCTATACTTTACTCATTAATATACTTCTTTAAGGCGAAGTGTACGTAATTAACTACTCCACAGAATTTTTTTTAATTTCACATGTGGATTCTGCTTGTAAAAATACATCAGACAATAAAATAAAAAAAAGGGGTAACTGTTTTCGTTTTTCAGATACAAGCTGTTGAAATTAACAGCATGATACGCCAAAAATACAAAGGATATATAGGGAAAATCATAAAAATCGGCAGATATTTTTACTTTATCAAGATTTTCTAATTCGTTGGTCCACAGAATTTTTAAAAAAATCGATATGCGATTCAAAAATGAACGACGAACCCATTGGTGCAAAGAAAGTCCTTAGCAACCGTGCTAGTTTTCAAGCTATATCCTGTGGAAGTTTGATTTTTAGCGGAAAGAATAAAAAACATTCGGCGACGTTATTGATGTCTACTGTAACGTCATCACAATTTCTACTAGATATAACTCTATAACGCTATTATACCGTACAGTGTCGAAACAAAATCGTGAGTGTGTATAAAATTGAGAATGGAAATGGGGAATATGTCAAAGAGACAACAACCCGACTGAAGAGCAGACAACAACCCGACCAAAGAGCAGACAACAACCCGACCAAAGAGCAGACAATAGCCGAAGGCCACCAATGGGTCTTCAATGTAGTGAAAAAATCCCGCACCCGGAGGTGGTCCTCAGCTGGCCCCTAAATAAAATTGTGTACTAGTTCAGTGAAAATGGACGTCACACTAAACTCCAAAACATATAAATGAACTAAAATTAAAAAAATATACAAGACTAACAAAGGCCAGAGGCTCCTGACTTGCCGGACAGGCGCAAAAATGCGGCGGGGTTAAACATGTTTTGTGAGATCTCAACCCTCCCCCTATACCTCTAGCCAATGTAGAATAAAGAAACACATAGCAATACGCACAGTATAACTCAGTTTAAAAGAAGCCCGAGTCCGATGTCAGAATAGGTAACAAAAGAAACTAAACAAAAAGACAATGATACATAAATTAACAAAGGACTACTAGCAGTTATTGACATGCCAGCTCCAGACCTCAATTAAACTGATTGAAAGATTATGTCTTCATCATATGAAAATCAAGTACAATCCCTCCCGTTAGGGGTTTAGTATCATACAATCATAAAATATATGAGAAGAACATAACCCGTATCATGCCAACAACTGGTTTTAGAATAATAGTGTTTATTTCCGATGCAAAGACCCTATGAGCGAATCAATATTAATACCAAAATATGCAACCCTTAATTACCTGACAATAGTATCGTAACTATATCCTTTCCGAATAAGTCTGTTTAAAGTTTTGGTTAGCTTTTGAGGTGAATGCCGATATTTTTGTGCTTTGTAAAGAATATTACCAAAAAATATTGGATGTGAAATACCTGAACGTATATGATGTCTACATGTTGATTTATATTTACGAATTATTTATAACCCATTTTCCTAAGTATTGCAAATGCTGAAGCGTAATCAATTGATAAGGAAATAAACTGAGTATTTTTTAAGGATAATTCTGCTGCCAAAAAAAAAAGCAAATTGGCAAATAAATATACTGCAAGTGAAAGAAAGTTACTGTAAAGACTTTAACTCCATCTTTTCTTAATTAGACAGGGTTCCACATCTTTTTTGAAATGCTTGTATTTATAGCTGACTATGGGCTTTGATCATTGTTGAAGGCCGTACGGTGACCTATATAGTTGTTAATTTCTGTGTCATTTGGACTCTTGTGGAGAGTTGATTCATTGGCAATCATACCACATCTTCTTATTTTTATATTGTATTGTTCTAATAATTATGAATCAAATATCAAGTTTGAAATTGTCCCGGTTAACACAGCGTTGACAGAATGATTCTATACGTATTTTAATAATCGGTTATAATATTGGGATCGCGAATACACGTCTTTTTTAAAATCTTATTTTTGCATGTTTGTATTTTAAAAAAGTGTATATAATTTGCTGCATCTTTTCATCCTCACCATTTCCGGCGCTATTCGAGGTATTGCGCACAAAACCCAGTTTATTTGTCAGGTTCACACACGTGCACGTGACACAACTCTGCAATTTTATTTTTAAAATTTCCTGTCTCGATCGCTTTCCCTCTTCTTTAACTACACGACAAAGCATAATATAATGTTTGCTGGAGATTTTAAGTAAAAAAGGAAATAATTTCTTGTACCATTATTTGTTGAATATCCACATGCACGACTCCCAAAAAATAAGAAAACTGCATCTGCATATTATCTTGAGAATTTTTATGGCTGTAATAAGGTCAAAAGAAGAACCCGCATATGTATTTTAGCAAAGTAAAACAGATCGGAGTTTTTGATATAACTTGTCCCTGTATATAATGCAAATGAATTGCAGTTTTGTTAATATAATATGAAAATAAGGAGATGTGGTATGATTGCAAATGAGACAACTATCTGCCACAGTTTAAGGTAGATCGGGTGTCTTTTTCTGAGCGTCCGTTCTGATCATGTTGCAAAAATACTTTTTTGTTTTAAAAATATTTTACCAAGTATCATTTAATATACAACAAAATACCTAAAACTTGAAATTTAAAGATTGAACTATCAAAAAATTAAGTGTCGTAAAGTATATTTAAAATTTTTGGGGATTTTTTCAAGAAAATAAGGCCCGTGACCCCCTATTTTTATTTGATATTTCGGAGTTATTAATGAAAAGCAATTTTCTCATCGAATTTTAGCCAATTCTATCGTTTAATGTTTCCGCAATAAGGAAAACTTAAGTTTCCCCTGTATTAACAATATAAAATAACCCAAATTTCGTTAATTTCAATGTGTTATTACGAAAAAACAAGGTCCGTGATCCCCAGTTTTTATATTGAAATTTGAAATTACATTGACCCAGAAGTCTTTTACAGAAGTTTAAGAAAAATTTATCGTCCAACATTTAGACACCCCAGCTACCTTAAATGATGTGGATGTAAGCAATTATTATAGGCAACCATACGGCCTTCAACAATGAGAAAAATCCATATCGTATAGTCGGTTATAAAAAGCCCCGACATTGTAGACCTTATTTTCCTCACCCCTACCCCTTCTTCCCCTACCTTATACTACTGCTGAATGATACACAAAAGCACAACAAAAGAAAATATATTTCGCTATCCCTTCGAAATTGGAATGATAAAAAAAAATAACACGTTCTATTTTTATCATACATGTGTAGTTTCAGTTTCAACCATGGTTCTAAATTTAGATTTTACTTTCCCCAAAAATTGCGGACGGAATAGAAGACACCTATTTATTTTCTTCACCTTGAAAACTGAGATTTGGATGACATATATTTTACTTATTCTGAGATAAATGTAATAGTGCTCAATTCTTAGTTTCTGAGTGTGTAATGTTTTGTGGACGGAATCTGATGGTTTTTTTTTTTTGCTGTTGGCTTTTTCTTCGCCTTCGGCTTATAAATGTTCATTATGTTGTACTAGTTGTCGATTACCCCTTAGTATCTTTTATACTTTTTACATAAATAATAAAATATAAAACATCATAAAATTTTCAATTGCATAAAAACGGACATGCCAACGTCTTTCTTGTTCAACACACAAATTCACATGCAATATAATTATTCGTTACCTACAATTTTACGCTACACTGTGAATTTCATTCAAAACTATGGTTTTTCAAAAAATATTGTGGGGTCAATTCTGGTTTGATTTTAATGAATTTGATACGAATAGAAGCAGAATTGTCACTGGTTTATTTGTGTATTTGGTTATAATTTTGTTGTTTATGCGTGTTTACCTTCTGTTGAAAAAAACACGAGTCGTATTGTGTACCTGCTCCTGCGTGTCTAAAACAAAAACAGTGGTAATAAAGTCAGACTAACTCACAATAGGATACTCAGATTTCTGATTGGAGTCATTCTAATAATTTCTTTGAAGTTTTGAGATAGCACATGAATACTTGTTTGGATTCATGATAGACCGCACGAAGTCATTTTTCTTTCATGTGCCCATTTTTCCTTTCTTGGAGTAGGTGAGATAACCCGCGTAACTAACGACGCACGTTTTTTATCCTAAATTCCGCTAGAGGCGTGCAATTACGTACACTTCGCCTTAAGTGGATCTTTGTGACTGGGTAGTCTAGGTAGTTGGCTGAAGACTTGATATATACGTGAAGATCAGCTCAGCCTTGTCACCTATTATGTTTGAGTTTTGCCCCAGTCATGTACAGAAATGACAAGATGTGCAAAAAGGTGTTCATATTTGCCAAAGGTTGGTTGTTCACAATGACTATGGTGGCTTTACTTTATCAATAATAATGACTGCCAACAAACAAATCACCGGATAATTCTTAAAGCAGTGTATTTGGTACATGCTGCTTGTTCTTCACATTATAAAAACAAATTTTGAGTTGTGTTTTGGACATAATCACGATGCAAACATGCACAGTTTGGTTGAGTGTAATATGCTTGTCCTCCCATCATCTTAACCCCACCCCCACTAAAGTGAAAATACACCAAAACTTACTTATAATTTCTTTAAAAAAGGTATAATTTCCTAACAAAGAGAATCGACATTATATGGTGCATATTGTATTATTACCGATGCTAACAGCCATTTATGTATTGATTGTTGTTTGCTTAACGTCCTGTGGCAAATATGTCATGCATATTCAGGACGAGATGAAATTGAACAATAAATCGTAGAAATAGTTGCTGCAAAATGGGCCAGCAATAAGCCAATTGTGATCAATCGAAGAATAATCCCTTAAAACCACGCACACTTTCCTGTCAACAGGCCGTGCTGACAAGGGTTCCCTTCTTGAAATTTGAAATATCTTCTTAAGATTTAAAAGACGTTTTCTCTTTATATCGCATTACACCTGATGTCAACGATTTTTATATTTCTTTTAAATCCCTCTGTCATGAATGTTGTCCCCGGACAGCGTTGCTATTGGTCTGTTATCAGAACTCATATGATGTCACAAGACGACTTTGCTGTAGCTCTGGTAATACAATCAGAATAAATGATCTGGTTATTGACTACATCGTGTTAAGAGTTCTTATCTATTATTTTTCACGTTACACAAGGTATCATGGCAATACGTCGGACATCTATAATATTTGGTAAGTTTGTATTTGACATTAAATGATTCAAGCCATGTTGTATATTGATATCGTGTAACATTAGATACTTGGTTCTGTTAAAGTATTTTGTGAATATGAATAATAATAAACAAAAACCACACAATTCTGTTTACTGGTCATCAAATGTAATTACTGTGATCGATTAATGTGAGCTTCACGTCCCTATTACTTGTCTATTCAAGCTCTAAATTGAAACCAGTTTGTAGTTTTTGTATGATTGTATATCTACGATCGTCTCAACATGCAGGCGTGAAGCTTTGTTTACGTTAAAATGTCCCGGGCGTACACATGAATGTTGGAGAAAAAAATTAATCTAAATAAATTAAAAGAATTGGTTTAAAGCATATGAGCCGCTTGTAATTCTTTCTTTGATGTCTTGTAATACTAATTGAAAATCAAAGTGACGAAATTTACTATTTAATCAATGGGTATAATATAATATTTATATAAAAATAAGGAGATGTGGTATGATTGCCAATGAGACAACTATCCACCAGAGTTCAATAAAGTGAATGTTCGCAATTATAGGCCACTGTACGGCCTGCACCAATGAGAAAAACCAACACCGTATAGTCGGCTATAAAAGACCCCGAAAAACAAATATGACAGACTTGAACCAACGACAACCACTGAACTAAAGGCTCGGAGTTCCTGACTTCGGGACAGCCACACGGGGTTACACATTGTTTGTGAGCTATCATCCCTCTCCTAACCTGGGACAGTGGTGTAACAACACAACATAAGAACAAACTATAAAAATCAGTTGCAATTGGCTTAACTCAAAAGATCTGTACGAGGCACAAAAACAACTAACATAAAAACAACAGACACAAAGCACCAAAATAAGAGTACGTGTTCATTTTCTGTCAAAGTCTTTAAGTTCACGCAAAACCTGGAAAATGTCTCTGCTGTACTTTTACTGACTTTGTACTTCAAATATATTTTTAAAACTTCCTTAGTATTGACTGTCGATATCCATGCTCTCTGGTTCTAGCATTTAATTTTTATGCTGTGATTTACTAGTATACAATTCTGGTTACTTTTATTCACAATACACGTATTGTACAAACCTTTACATTTGATCGTTTGATAAATGTACTTATTTTGGCTAAGATACGATACGTGGTTTGCATTTTTATATTACACATAATAATCTATGAAAATTAATTATTTTGTGTATTCATTAACAAAATTTGCGCATAAAAGGGGAGAAGATTGTCTGAAGTCGATCGAAATAATTAAAATAGAACAACATTGAAATGAAGACTTGCTTTTTTACTTTTATCTCGAAAGTTTTGGATTTTTTGTCAATTGATTGTTTTACCCACATCTCCTTTTAAGCACATTTTAGAGTAACTGGTTTGAACATTTTTTCTTAAACCAATGACAATTAGATTCCAAATTAACACTATGAATAAATTAAACATAAAAAATAAACAAATTAGTCTCCATTTTATTTTGCTACTGATGAGTTTTTAATGACAGAAACGGAATGTCTTTTTCGATAACGTGTGCATGATCATTTGTCGAGATTCGGGCGTACACTTAAAATGGCCTAGCTACGCCACTGACATGACTAGCCTTTTTTTATATGGGAAAGAACTTTGAATTAATTTCTCACATACCATATGAATGAGCAAGCTCATTTAGTAACAATCCGCAAGACTGGTCATCGTCTACCCGAGTCTTTCCTTTCATTGACTCACAGAAGCAACGTGATGAGCGTGAAAGTCCCGTATATATCAATATTAAAGTCCTTGATTGATGATGAATTACAAAAATAAAAATAGATTATCTGGTCAGGGTATAGTAATATATATACAATCCTCTGGACTCACCACTGAAGAGGATTTTCAGGCGCGGATCTAGGATTTGTTGTTAGCTTAGGGGGGGGGGGGGGGGGGGGGGGGGGGTTTAAGGAATTTAAGGACCTTATATGGACGCAAAATTTGATGTTAATTACTAGTAACCGTTATAATATGTTTTTTGTTCTTTATTTTTTGGGGGGAAAGGGGGGGAGGGGGTCGGATGAACCCCGCCTGAATCCGCATCTGTTTTTTTTTTATGTTGCGAAATGCACATACGTACAATGCATAACCGACACAAATTGTATTCTTTGGTAAAAGAAACATGACACGAGTTTCAGGAATAAAATTTAATGTGACAGATTGTGCCTCGAAACGAACATTTTGGAAATTCAAAAATCTAAAACGTTTTGGAGCAAGGCATAAAATCGTCAAAATTGTTTTTGCCTCGCTAAACTTTGCTCACTTTATTTAACCATTCAGGACATTTACGTCCCCTTTTCCTCGAACCCTCGATACCCAAGGAAACCCATACAAATGGGATACGCTATACTGACATTTTTAATTGTAATTTCTTTGCAGTTTTGGTACTGACGGGTGTTGTTACTTGTGTAGAGGATACTGAACTGTCGACTCTGATCACATCACTATGGAACTCCGATTCTAACGCTGCAACATCACGCGACCTTCATTACTCCTATCAGCAGCACACCGATACCAGTAGCTCAACCGATAATGCTCCAAAGAGGTTTATTTTTATTTACGCTGCATTTGAAAATACCATTTAGATTTCATTATCTTGTAAGGGGTTAATGTTAAAAGACTGCACTCTATATCCAGTGGTTCCTCTAACAAGTTTTGAACAAGTTTCTATTCTCTGTAATTTATATATATGACCAGTTGATCTGTTTAAATTGATTATTTCCGTGAAACAAAATTACGATTACAAATTATTTTACTTGGATATATTCGATCTGGAGAACAAGCGGCCACGAGGATGTGCTCTTTTTTTTTATTTGTTTACTTATTTTGTGAGTGAGTGTTTGTGTATAATGCATATGGAAACGAGACTGAAACATATAGGCTTAGCGTATAAATCGTTTATACCTTTGGAAGAAAAACATTATGACATGCCTATAAATACATGTAGTAGGTAGTATAGCATTTGTTTTGAAAAAATTTAGTAATGCAACCAAGTGTATTATTTTCATCAACTTTTAAATCACAATTCACTGGATTACTGGCAATTCTTGTACTGATTAAAATGTTGTGTTTCATTTTCCAGCAAAAATGTTTTAATACATTCAATTACTTCTTGAATTATTCGAAGTACTTGAATTTTTTACTTTTGTTATTTTATCCTTAGGTTATTTTCATATGTAAACGAAAACTACCTTTTCCATAAACCAACATATCGAACGTTTCTCGATCTACTGGATAATTACAAGAATTCGGTTGGAACAGCTGAACACGTGACCAACACAGAAGTAGCAGAAGAACTGAGATTTGTAAACGAAATTTGTAAAACATCAATAATGCAGAAAACACAACAGTTTTTACACAAAAAAGGTTAATATGTTTATGTTTGTAACAAAATAGACACAAATCTTGATTGAATATCGCCCATCCATGAAATGTTATGACTTGCAAATAATTCCATGTTTGTGTTTGGTATACCAGAGGGGCATTTTGAAAGTCTTAGCTCCGGTCTTTTTTGAAAGGGTGTATTGAAAGTCTTAGGTCAGCGGTGTGTGTTGAAAGTCTTAGGTCTTGGGTGTTTTGAAAGTCTTAGGTCGTTGGTGTTTTGAAAGTCTCAGATCAGTATCCAAGTGACGAACCGTGAACATAAAAGAAAAATGTGCTATTATTTCTAGAAATAAAGATATCATTCTTGAGACCAATTTTAATGTATTAAGTAGGTATGGTTTTCTATATTACAAAATCAGGTTCATTAAAAAAAAAATACAAATACATTTTGAAATAAAGGTGTTTTCTATTGTCTAATATTTTATTTGATTTTGGTGTTTCTGTTTATTTTAACTGTTCGTTGATTTTTCAACTTTTTTGCACATAGCATATCTGACGAAGAACCAGAAAAGACCGAACATGACAAACTTTTTACTTCCTCCTAAGTCTGTCTTTCTGTCTGTCGCATTTTGTGTTTCAATTTCCTGATATTGTGATTACTGGCTCGAGCTAAAAGACTGATATCCAAAAATGTTTTGCTGAACTTGATTCTTGTTTATACAATACATTGAGTTCAAAATACTTTTGTACTGGCAGCTACAGATGAAAAGGTATCGGATGACTATTTAGATAGACTCTAGAGATTAAACAAATTAGAGAAAATAGTTAGTTTTTGTTTTAAATAATAAGACGATATAAAAATAAAAAGATGTGTTATGACTGCCAATGAGTGAACTCTCCACCAGAAACCAAATGACGTTAAAGTTAACAACTATAGGTCACCGAACGGCCTTCAACAATGAGTAAAACCCATACCGCATAGAAAGCTACATAAGGCCCCGATAAGACAAATGTCAAAGAATTCAAACGAGAAAACTAAAGGCCTGATTTATGTACAATAAACGAAAAAAATATGATATAAAGCAAAATAAAGACAACCACTGAATTACAGGCTCTTGACTTGGGACAGGAACATACAAAATGTGGCAGGGTTTAACATGTTTGCTGGCGTCAAACCATCCCCTTACCTAGGACAGTTGTGTAACAGTGCAACATAAGAACAAACTATAAAAATTTGCTGAAAAAGGACTTAAGTCATTTGATCGATACAAAGCACAAAAGAAAGACGATATTTTTTTTTTGGTGGTTTTTGCACATTTTCAAGAGTAAAAATGTTTTGATTTCAATAGTTGTTGGAACATGACCATTAAATATTTGAATTAATAAAATTATTAGATTTAATTCATATTATATGCAGGATGTATGTTTAAATTCTAGTGGTAAACGTTTTGCCATTGCGTTCAGTTTTGACCTTTGACTTAAACTTGATTAATCAGCTGTTAAAGAGCCTAAATCAGGTTACATGTATTTTAAGCCTATAGCTGGTATCGAAAAAATGAAAGTTAACCGAACTTATGTATTTCTCGTAAGAATCCTGTTTGTCGACATAATTCAAAAAAAAAATATTTTAGGGTATGTTAGTTCATCAATGTCAGATTTTGAGCATATACTCAAATCTGTATGGTTTACAACTTATCCAAGGAGCGGGTCATCCAGGACTCTGGACAGCAGTGGATTTGAACATATCTTTGTAGGAGAGGTGAAAGGATCCAGCGTGGATGGTTTTCACAACTGGATTCAGTTTTATTTAGAAGAGAAAAAGGGCCATGCCAATTATTTAGGATATGTCTTCAGACACCAGGTATTCTAATTTTGGATTTACAAGCAATTGTAAAGTTGCTTTTTGTTAACTTCTATTTTGGTTGTCTCGTCTCGACCTTGTCAAATACAATTGGTTTTCAAGCTATGTCAGTTGATTAAAACTGAAACATATAATAATATATTATTCCATAGCATTTTGTGATTCTCAATTTTTTTGTCTTTACATCAGTCTCAAGCAAAATCAAATAAGCTTGTTTTTTTACCCCATATTTTTCGAAGTTAAAAGGAAGGTGACAATAATGCTACAGGGTTCATATATATACTATAGTATACTACAGGGTTCATATATACTATAGTATACTACAGGGTTCATATATACTATAGTATACTACAGGGTTCATATATATACTATAGTATACTACAGGGTTCATATATACTATAGTATACTACAGGGTTCATATATACTATAGTATACTACAGGGTTCATATATATACTATAGTATACTACAGGGTTCATATATATACTATAGTATACTACAGGGTTCATATATACTATAGTATACTACAGGGTTCATATATACTATAGTATACTACAGGGTTCATATATATACTATAGTATACTACAGGGTTCATATATATACTATAGTATACTACAGGGTTCATATATATACTATAGTATACTACAGGGTTCATATATACTATAGTATACTACAGGGTTCATATATACTATAGTATACTACAGGGTTCATATATACTATAGTATACTACAGGGTTCATATATACTATAGTATACTACAGGGTTCATATATATACTATAGTATACTACAGGGTTCATATATATACTATAGTATACTACAGGGTTCATATATACTATAGTATACTACAGGGTTCATATATACTATAGTATACTACAGGGTTCATATATACTATAGTATACTACAGGGTTCATATATATACTATAGTATACTACAGGGTTCATATATACTATAGTATACTACAGGGTTCATATATACTATAGTATACTACAGGGTTCATATATACTATAGTATACTACAGGGTTCATATATACTATAGTATACTACAGGGTATCATATATACTATAGTATACTACAGGGTATCATATATACTATAGTATACTACAGGGTTCATATATACTATAGTATACTACAGGGTTCATATATACTATAGTATACTACAGGGTTCATATATATACTATAGTATATCCTTTAATTCAAAGGTATAAAATGAAGTTCTCTAAACTTAATATACTGTAAATAAAAAAAAAATCTTCGACAAAAGACAATATAAGAATATGTAATGTCTTTCCTGAATTAGGTTGTTGTAGCAGTATGTTACTGACAACAAAAAAATCAAATTTGCACGCTTATTATATCGGTGTTCATCATGTCGCATACAAATTGTGTCGCACTAATAATATACAAATATACAAATATACGAACATAATATACGAGAGAAAATTAAAAGTAAGACGAAGAGTGTATAGAGAACAAGAAAAAAAAACGTAGATAAAACATGCATTTACTTGACCTGCGAAAAATGAAATGAAACGTACGCAAACCACGTGTGGTATTTTGTATTTACTGAGAGAATGGTGTAAGGTGTTCCTCTTGTGCATTTGTTAAAACATTACATATGAGAAACACCATTTGATGATGGACCAGAGCTTTGATTGTGATTCGTCATCTTGAAAATAGCCAAAGTCAATTTAATTCTTAAAGACCAGTTCTAATATCGGCATTCTAAAACGGGGACTACACCAAAGCTTCATATATGCCTATTAAATAATTTGTTTTTTATAAACCTACTTGTTGTTGTAGAATCGTATGACAATATTGGACTTTGAAAATGTTGTTCCTGAAATACCTTACTACAAAAAAAGACTGAAGATATAAAAGGGACCGCAAATCAAATCATATCCGTACTTAATTAACATGTAACATGTGTAAATCGTCCCAGTTTTTTGGAACAAAATGCGAATGTCATCTATTTAACCTATCATGAAATGGACTCCATGCAGACATATTCTATATATAAATCAAATGGTTGATACTTACTTTCATATTATACATAAAAGCCATAACCCAAGTTATTAGTTTTTTCTCTGTATAAGTAAAAAAAAATAAAAACGCATTATACATTTGTCATATAACAGTCATACGTATTTAAAATTGGGTTACGTCGTCTCTTAAAGAGTTCTATTGCATAATATACATTATATGTACTTATATATTTATACATGTTCACCTTTTCTTAGAAATGAATTAATTTCGTAGAAATAATTGAAAGTAACTTTTATAAAATGTTATAGAAAGTACTATATATGTATGTAGGTACATCATTAAAAAACCACAGCAAGTTTCTTTCTCAACATTAATTCCTATTTCCATTTCAGCCTGGAATACTCGGAGTCCATTTTAAATGGTACAACAGTTATAAAAAGTTAAGTTCCTTAATACTTGGGTCCAGTCCAGAGTTTGAAATGGCGTGCTATACACTATGCTACTACTTACATAGGAACAGGGACTGTCAATTCAATATAAATGGCCATACCATTCGTGTGAAGACCTACGAAGTCGACAACATGCCAGGGGACCAAATCGCAACAGCCTATCTTTAATAAATGATATGATTATGATGTTGTTCATTTTTTTCTTGTATTATTCATGGTACGCTTTCGTTAAATCAACGAAATATCACAAATATCTATACAGATATAATAATGCGTGCAGGCACATGAGACTCCCATATCAATCATAGAAAAACAATCTATTTCGTTAATTGTATTTTATCTAAACTTAAAGCTTTCAAAAGTTAATTAAAAAAACAACAATGTAAGATGAGACAGAAACCCATCAATAATGGTTTATCAAAAAGAGACTTTAGAAAATCATGCAGCATACTGTTTAACGATGGAGGACAAACTTCATGTAGCAAATCAAGCGTTTAAATATAAAAATTGTTTTCGGCAGGAAATTTGAGAACACTGATTTTGAAGGATTTTTCAGGATAAGACTAAATTAAACAATATTTAAGTTAAGTAGGTTTTGCAAAGTGTGGAGAAGGCAGAAAATTGCAACTGAAAAAAACCCAGGTGCATTGGGAAAGGATTGAAATATTGCCCTACAATAGGTATACACGGACTTATTTAGAAAGTTATTTTAATAATAACATACACTATTTGGATAGCCTCTGAAATGTTATGACCTGTAAAAATGAGATTGTCATTGCTACAAGCTAAGTCTCACATACAACCGCCTTATAGATGTATTTTCTCATGTGCAGTCAGCTTGACTTTCCACCATGAGTGTCAGGATGTAAGGTCAATTTTCCCTGAATTTATTTCACAACAGTATAAAAATAATATGATGTGATATTATTGCCAATGAGACAACTCTCCACCAGAGACCATATGACTTAAAGTAAAAAACTATATGTCACCGTACGGCCTTCAACAAGGAGCAAAACCCATACCGCACAAAAGCTATAAAGGACCCGAAATGACCAATGTAAAACAATTCAAACGACGAAACTAACGGCCTGATTTAAGTACAAAATAATAAAAATAAAACAATTATAATAAACAGGAACAAACGTCAACAACTGAAATATTTAAAAAAAAAAACAAACAAAAAACGCGCCTTTCAATTTTCATTTTCCGACAATAATACAGCACCTTAGTGTTTCTTTGAGATTCATTCTAACAATTATATTATGACTTATTTTTTAATAATTTTGTTAAGAGACGTCCTTTGATGATAAATTTTTCAAAAAATATGTAAAATTTTCAATTTTGTGTCAAAATGTCTTTATGTTCTCATTCGTTCCTCAACCGAACATAAAGTAACCACAACACTTAGGCTAGTACATAAAACAAAAACACCATATCATTATGGGACCAGCTCGCCAGTTGTGCAGCTAAATTTATTAGATTTATTAAACATACATAGAAAGAGTCCGTCACATATGACATCTGCACTGACCGCTGCCATGTTGAAATATCTACAAAGACAAAATAGAAATAGTCAGTATACAAATAAATGAAAAATATATACATTCTCCATATAAATAGCTATGGGTGGGAGGGTTGGTTAGCTGCACTGAAAACTGAGCTTCGAATGATTATATACTGTAGTTTTAAAAAACAAAGAAAACTATTCCGGTTTTTGAAATTCGTGCAACATAAGTTGCAACTTTAAACTCAAAATTTTACATAAGTTAAAGGTCCAATTCGGACCAATGGTCAATGTTTATTAAAATAAATAAACAAATACACGTGAATGTACACGTGGATAAGCAATATAGCCACGTGTATTAGATAACAGGATTAAATACATTTATAAGCACTAAATAACAGTTTGATCTTATAGAAATGTGTAGAATTGTTTTAGCACTTTAATATTATAATTCCATTAGAATTTGACAACATTATTATTTGAATGAAAATTATAAAAAAATAATCAATGAAAATATGAAGCCGAAATAATGTTTAAGAATTTTAAGAATTACAATGTCACTAAAACTGCATTTGAACATTTTTTTTGATATTTGCGTGTACTCTGTTATTTAGTAGTGTTTGATTTTTTGTAATTTGTTTTGCAATATCGGTGTAATCATAACAAGATAATAGTAATACAGTTAATAATAATAATATCTTAATATGTGCATTTAAAAAGCGAATATCCAAATGCATTCAGAACAGTCAAATAAGTAAGAATATAAATAAATTTAAAACGACAGTAAACTGCATACTAAACTTTGATGTGTGACAGGCTACTGGATTTTTACAATTCTTTTTTTCCTAGAAATACAAATTATTAATTTTATTATCATATTTTGTTTTACCCCCCTTTATTATAATAGTTTTGAATAAAAAACATAAGATAAGTTGGTGGTGTGCAACCAAATTTAGAAAAAAACAACAAAAATAACTTTAAAATTAAATTTTTGTTTTCTTATTAAATTTCTCAATGTTCTCAAGATGTCACTCAACACTAGAATTCAATTCAAAATCTTATCTTAATTTTTTACCTGGATTTAAAACTAATTAACGTATTAACATAATCACAGCAATCAAACAAAAGGTAAACAAATCAATCAAACAATCAGAAAACAACAACAAGCTAAGTATGGTACTGAGAAATTTGAACACTTTTTAATCACGAAAAAGACACCCACGTGACGAAAATGACACATGTATATTTCTCGTGCAAGTTTTGAAATGAGTTCAAAGTGCCATTGAAAGCTCATATTTGACAACAAAAAAGTGTCACAGAAGAGTTAAAGTTTAGTGATAAGATATTCCATCTTCACTTTATATCATACAAGCCGAGAGTTTTGACGTCGAGTTAATTCTTTGAACACACAAGCTGAAAGCAAAGCCATGGTCAAGCGCAAACGAGAAGACAGAGACACGGATTTGAAAGATGCAAGCCAATGTCACCCCAAAATGGCATCACTTATTGGTGAGTTCACATATAATTTCTTTGATTATGTAAAACTGTCAAATTTGTGCATTCTTGCAGAAGATCGCCAATCGGTGGTTTTCTCCGATTAAATTGACCGCCATGGTATAGTTGAGGATTCTGAAAGTGGCGTTAAACACCAACAACCAATCAATCAAATATGTAGATACGTTAGTACATACTCATGTGACGGAATTTTCTTGCATACTTAATATTGATTTTTAACGTCTCGAAGACAATTTCTTCACTTTCCAATTTGTATAAAATACTTTGAATAATAAAACAATTATCATGAACATTCAGATAAGTTTTTTGAGAATTTCCGAATAAAGATCACCATTTAGGATTCCTAGATTTTACATGGTGATTCAAAATGAATTCGACGAAGAAAAAGTTCATAGAGATAAGTAAATTAATTGTTTCAAAGGCTCCAATTTTAATTGTATAGATAATCGACACCCTTTATTATGATAACCGAATGAATCAGTCATATTAAAAAAAAATCGCCTTTTCAGAAAATGTTTTTAAAACATCAGTATTTAGTAGTATACCAAAATAATCTTTAAATTTCTACAATTAATAAAGATGATTCTATAAGTAAATTAATTCACAAATAAATAGTTTCTGGTTAAACCAATTTACGTATATATTTTCATTTGCTGTTCAGACCGATTTTCGACAAAAAAAGTCAAATCCTCTTTTTTATTCTTGTACAGCAAAGACATTTTTTAAACCATGACGGGAATTTTCTTGAGCTTATATAATGATGGTTTTTCTTTTCTATAAAAGCAATGTTTTACATTTTTATGAATAACGTTTTAAAGACTGTTTAATTGTTTTTAAGTATGTATACCTTAGATATACTTAAACTGAGATAGTCTTTCACGTAGGCTTTCGACGATTTTGACTGTCCTTCGATTTTGTGATTTTCTTATATATATCTTTGGACAGAGCTCATCTATTTGAACCCCGGGCATATGTAATATCATTTTTTGCTCCCGGAAATGTAAAAAATAACTCACCATGTTTCAGGGATTATATACTAGTATATTTGTAAATCACATGAATGTGAGTAATGTCTTTTTAAATGAATTGACTATGTGAAAGGTTATTATCAAACATGGTTATAAGATATTTAAAACTCTGCCAGATTGATAATGTATAATTTTTTAAAAGCGATTATTTGGTTCGGAAAGTTTTAAAGTGAATGTTCAAAAGCAACAAAGAATTCAAATTTGCAAATTTAGGTAATCGGATATTAAAATACTGGTTGATGGATAAAAGAACCACAAGAACACCACTATTGGGCATAGAAAATTGCAGGTTACGCATTTCACTATCTGTTTAATGTGCAATACTCCAGAAAATAAAATAATTCGTAAAAAATTATACTAAAACATCATTTTACAAATTCGAAATGAAAGCTGGTGGTAGTGATTATTGTTATTTTGTAATATACTTAAATCAGTTGTCAATCAAGGGATGAATCCAGTTAAGTTGACCCGAAGTCACGCCCCCTCTTTAGCCGACATTTTGTCTCGCTTGCAACTACAGTAGGAAAAGTGAGACAAAACGATTCTAGTTTCAGCTATCGGCGTCGTTTTGTCATCGGCGTCTCAACATTAAGGTTTATTTTTTGGACTTGTTCACACATCAATAACTTTGTCTTTATTGAAATTTTCGATACTTGGACAGAAAATTATAGTCGGATGTTAGAGCTTTCTTAAGTCATGTTTATTGTTGATTTTACATATTGTGGACTCTAAGTATAATTTACTTCTTACTAACTATATATATACAACTTCATCATGATCAGTAGACAGCCTCTCAAGAACGAATATTAAACATACATTGTATCTTCATTTTCCTTACTTTACTGACAAATGTAATCAACCCTTTTCAAGCCCTTTTTAAAAACTTCTCAAAAACTTTTTACTTATCAATAGACTCTGATCTTAATTGACTAATATTGCCATTTTTCTGTCGATAGACGGCGAATCTCTCCGGGCATTCCGACCTCTTCTATCAATCTAAACTCTCTGCCACGATATAGCCAAAAGTACTAAAAGTTGCGTTGAAAACCAACAACCAATCAATCAATTTATAACATCCACATACAGTTGATGTTATTGCAAAAGATTTGTATTTTACAATTGCTGTCAGACATTTATACTTCATTCTTACCGGAAGTCATATAACTGTCAAAATTAAATTAAAAGTAAATATTTATGTGTGGCTATGTTTTTTTTTAAAGGTATGACATCAAGACTAACAACGCCCTCTGTTTTATCAGCAGCGGAAACGGAACTACGAACAGTTATGGACGATTTTGTAACGGTATATGAAAGATTGGACCAAGAAGACAAAGCGGATAAGAAACCAAATTACTCTTATACTGAAATGATATACCTTTCGATTCTTCGATCACCAAACTTTTGTTTACCGATAACAGAAATATATAAATATATAAAAAATAGATTTTCGTACTTCCGGAGTTCTGCTCGGAAACATTGGTGTAATGCTGTCCGCCATAGTCTTTCAAAAACAAAATGTTTCACAAAGATTGCCATTGGTAGGGGATCAAGTGGCAACCATAATCTCAACCGATCAACTTATTTATGGTGCATAGTTCCAGGAAGCATAGTTAATTTTGCAAGAGGAGACTATCGTCCAAACGTAGATACAGAAAGTGGGACAAACACCCTTCGATGGGGATATTTCCGTGTAAATGCGGGACAATTTTGGGATCAGGTAGCTGTGTATTTAGAGAAGAAAATGGAAATTTTTCAGCAAATGATACTTGCAACTCAGTCACCTGGAAAAGTGTTGGAGGCACAAGCTTGTTTTATCCCAGGTTTAGCATCGACTGTTCACATTATGAATTCATCACAGACCAACACACCAACAATTGTTACTAACCAAGAATCAGCGGATAATCCCTTTGTTACAAAACAAGATATACCAACACGTACTGTTCATTATGGACCGAATTTATCTGATAGTGGAATTTTAGACCAAAGCCTACCAAAAGTGCCGAGACGGATAGGTAATAACAGTAGAGACAGTGGAAATGAAAGCTTTTCTGACTCAAGCCCAGAGGAAAAACGACAGAAACAAAATAGTTTGCCAAACAAAGGATGTGGATTGAATGCTTCGTATTTAACAGTCAATTCATCGATACTCGACGATACACGGAAAACTCCAGAGCTTCCCGATTTGGGACATGTCAGTCCTTTATCGATTTCACCGTCATTATCGCCGATAACAGGAAATGTAACTTATAACAATGAGACATTTGCAGGATCTTCATTTTCATCCACATTTCCATCGATTCCAGCATCGTTTGCGTCGACACCAGTTGTCACTTCGTTTTCACAGCAGCGTTTTTCTCAAGCTCAATCTGTGTACACACACTCATTTTCACCACCACTGTTTCCTTCATTATCGCCGCCAACATTTCAAGTTTCAATGGAGAGTCCTACTTGCTATCCACAGTTTGCCCAAACAAATTCTAAACCACTGACATTGCCCTATTTACAATCATCAATGAATAGCCCAATGAACACTCAACATAATATGTTTTTACCACGTGCTTATTCGCAACCGCCATTGTATATTCCACATCAAGTACCAGCCGGAAGCTACGATTTTGGACAATTTCCGGTACCTCCTATATCTCATACACCATATCAGTATGATTCGTACGGATGTCAATCATCTGAAAATCAGATAAACTATTTGCAGTTGTCCTCACAGAATAAGTTCGAGCAGTGTTCTGGGCAAACATTAGCTTCAGTTAATTGGAATGCAACTTGACATACAAGACAGGAAACCCAAAACACGTTATAGTGCTAAGTTTTAGTTATGTTATGAATTTTATTTGTAAATAGAATTTTTATGGATCGAAAATGTTTTATGGAAAGAAGTTTTTATATACTATACATTTGGTGTACATGTACTAATTCAATTTTATGTATTATAGTGTACATTTTATATACAGTGTACGTGTACTACAAGTTGTTTTAACGTCTTAATGCCATTAAACAATTTCAGCTCATTTTTATTTGTTTTATTCATTTTCTAAACGGAAACAGTGCTTTTGAGATAAAGGTTATTTTGCATTGATATAATAAACCTAAAATAGAGAAATCAGAGGGCTGTCCTGGCTAAGGACAGGGTTTCTGCACACAAACAATTCCTTTAAAGGTGTGAAATAGATAAAGTTACTATCCGATGGCTTAACTATATACACATACTTTATGTCTTATTCCACAAAGTTAAAATATAAAAGTAGATTGGCCTTGATATAAATAATGAGATGTGGTATGAAAATCAAAGGACAAATGCATGAACAATTATAGGTCACTGTATATACAGTCTTCAACAATGAGCAAAACCCACAAAGAATAGTAAGCCATGAAAGGCCCGTGTATGACAAAATGTGAACTTATTCAAAAGAGAAAACCAAAAGCATAATTCCTTGTCTCGCCTTAACGGAGTCAAAAAGCGAAACTTGCGTATGCTGTTTCGGTGGCGACGACGTCAACAATTTAGAATATGTCTTTTTAAGGGGAGCAACTGATGGTTAATGTATGATATTTGATATACAGTTGTATAAGCATTAATACATCTCATTTCCATGGATATTATATTGCCCTGTCCCCTCAGTCATGGTCCATTGACTTTGAAACTAGCATAGCTTACATGTTAAAGTTTGTGATAAGGCAAGTTTAAGGGGAACCACTTACAATAGTAAAATGATATTTTTTATACAGTTATATTAATGCTCTCGAGACAGGATTAAAGTTTTTTGTAAGTTTTTTTTCTCTGTGACTATATATATCTCATCTGTTAACATATATCGATATACCAGATGCAACAGATAAAAACATGCAGATCTAAATAGTACTTGCCACAATGGTAAAACCCGAGGGCAAAATCCTTTGTATTGCTATGCTGGCAATCGGACCCGGAAAAAAAATGTTTAATGGCAATAGGGAACACAGGTCTTCTTGTTTCTGTCGTAGCTATATCCGGGAAAAGTGTGTGATATATGTAGAATTAAGCAATATTTGATATTTGAATTTGCTGGAACGAAAATAACAAAGATACCACGAGGAAGGGATTCATATCAGAATATATGCAAAGAATAACGAATTAACACCAAAAACAAAAACCACTTGACACCACAGCATGCCACACCAACCACAAACACTCGATTCCTCCTTTAAAACAAGTAAAAGGACCAATAACACACGAACATATGTTGATAAAGGACAGAAAACATTATAGCATAAAAAACCATAAGACAAACAAGAGACCCGACATAAACCGCGGGGAAATCCAATGCTCCGTTAAGTCAGAAGTTCCTGCTCCAATAATGATACCCTACAAAAACCCATGGGAAAATCAAATGCTCCGTTAGGTCAGCAGTTCCTGCTCCAATAGTGATACCCGACAAAAACTGTGGGAAGGGGGGATCCAATGCTCCGTTAAGTCAGAAGTTCCTGCTCCAATAGTGATAACCTACAAAAACCCATGGGGAAATCAAATGCTCCGTTAGGTCAGCAGTTCCTGCTCCAATAGTGATACCCTACAAAAAAACCATGGGGAAATCCAATGCTCCGTTAAGTCGAAAGTTCCTGCTCCAATAGTGATACCATACAAAAACCCATGGGGAAATCCAATGCTCCCTTAAGTAAGATGTTCCTGCTTCAATAGTGATACCCTACAAAGCCCGTGGGGAAATCCAACGCTCCGTTAAGTCAGAAGTTCCAGCTCCAATAGTGATACCCTACAAAACCCATGGGGAAATTCAATGCTCCCTTAAGTCAGAAGTTCCTGCTCCAATAGTGATACCCTACAAAACCCATGGGGAAATCCAATGCTTGGTTAAGTCAGAAATTCGTGCTCCAATAGTGATACCCTACAAAACCCATGGGGAAATCCAATGCTCCGTTAAGTCAGAAGTTCCTGCTCCAATAGTGATACCCTACTCTCAAGTTTTGTTTAACTATGATAAGTTGTTAACTGTGATAACTGCTGTCCCCTAACATGATACCTACACTCAATCGATTAGATTTTAGACAGATTTACAAGCTAAGAATCCTTCATGAAAATAAAATATCGAACGCAAATTTCTTCCAAACAGTCATTGCAAGTGTAGTTGCAATGTCAGATTATCCTCCTACCCATCCCCACTCAAAATATCAAATGATTGTCCCCAAACGATCAGGTTTTTTTCATAAAGGAATGTGACTTTCTGTCAGACATCGTTCAGATTTTTCCACATCAAGGATTTATGTAGTATATAAACAGAGGCGGATTTATGGGGACAAGCGCCGCTCTCCTTATGGAGTTTCATACATGTATATGATAAATGCATAGACTTTTTCAAAGTATCACTCCAAAAGTTGCCTTGTCCCCCCTTCTTCCTTTTTTTCAAAATCCTGGAACCGAACCTGATAAATCCTTGATCACGTCAGTTTTTTTTAGTAACTACTCGATTCTATTATGTAATGTGTCTACCAAGAAGTCATTGATACCTGTTACCCCGTTTGCAGAAAGGTTTTATTCGTTTGCTCTTAATTTTTTGATTTATTAGGAAATTTGCGTTTGATATTTATGTCAGGGGGCAGCACTCGTCAGTCTATGAGGAATTATCGTTGAATAAATGCACCAACCCGAATGACAGAGTTATCTCCCATTTCGTCTATGTTATTTTAGACAGATTTACAAGTTAAGAATCCTTCATGAAAATAAAATATCAAACGCAAATTTCTTCCAAACAGTCATTTCAATTTTTAACCTATTTTGAATGATAGTTTCATTGACAGTGATATTTTAAGGAAATGTTGATCAAAGTATTTAAAATTCCCACAATATATGCATGACGTTTGCCAGTCACGTTGCTTTCGCCGGAAAATTTGAATATTTTGACCTGAATGAAACGATAGCCGAGTAAGGGTGTCGTTGATCGGAAAATCAATGCATGCTTCTGATAGAAGAATCATTTAGGAAGGAAATGAGTGTCTTTGTAAGGTATAAAGTGACATAGAAACATTTTTAATTATTTTTTATGTGAGGAGGTATAAGCTATTCAAAATGGCGACTTAGATCCCTTTAGGATTTTTCAGTATACGGATGTGGATAGTAAACTGCACATTGCTAGAAAACAAAGAAATATTTATGCCAACGTTAAAAACGTTAATAATGTAATACAAATAGACAGGAAATACGAAAAAAGATTTGAAAAACATTGATGAACAAAGTTTTTAAATGCTAACCGAGTCCGTGTAAAAAAGGGATATCTTTATTCTTAATCCCATATAAGATGATGGAAAATGCAACACTAAGACTAAATATCATGATAAAAAATAATCCGAAATATAAAACATACACGAACTGAGAAAAAAGAATTAATTTTTACAAAAAAATGTGATAATAAAAATTTGTACGAAGGACTTTTTTTGTCGTCGTGCTTTTCCTTTTCACTACATGTATATATAAAGACAGTATAGGTATTTTCACTTCTATAACAGAAGGATCTATATACTAAGTAAACATTTCAATGAAACAAGCACAACATTTATTCCGATAGGGGAAACAAGAATTAAAAGGTTCATTTCCTATGCATTTCCAAAATTATCCTCACAAACTAAGCTAAAAGAAAAATACATTTGATATAATAAAATAAAAAGAGTGAATGTCGAGTTGGCGAAGTGGTATCCCTGCTGCCGAGCCGAGACTCAACAGACAAGGATAGAACTAGCTGCTTTTGGCTCAGTAGTAAGTAGTCATTTATCCACTACGCTACGGCTCACCCGATATCTAATAGGATATTAGGTACATACGCATGTGTAATTATCGTCATGCATATATTGTGGGAATTTTAAATACTTAGTACTGTGATCAACATTTCCTTAAAATATCACTGTTAACGAAACTATCATTCAAAATTGGTTAAAAATTCTTGATAAAAATCTAACTAAGGGAGTATAAGATTCGATCCCATATCCTCTATATTGTAGGGCCAACGTGTTAACCGCTCGACTATTAAAGAATGTAAACTTATTATTTAGAAATTGAGGCTATTTATACATCATGATCAATGATTTTGTTTAACACATGAGTACACGTACGCTGAAGAGTATATGAGAAATGACTTATTATTTATTTTTTCTCTGCAGAGCAGAGAAAGGTATTTGTTAACAACAACAACAATATTGATACACGACAAGACTAAAAAGAATTATTAAATGCCGTGTCGTCGAGTTTTTCGTATGCTTTTGCACGCCTTGTATCAGCTCGCGATCCATCCTGTGAAAAATGGGTATCTTTATTCTTTATCCCATATATGATGATGTATAATGCAACACTAAGACTAAAGATCATGATAAAAATTAATCCGAAATATAAAACATACACGAACTGAGAAAAAAGAATTAATTTCTGCTACGAAAAACTCGTATCCTAGTAGAAGGCGAGCACTTTTATTTTATTTCTTCTAGAATATAGTTAAAGCAAATACTTAAAGCAAGTAAAGTTTCGGTCTTGAAATTCATACAAATACTAGTAACTTTTTATTTTATTTTTTATTCTAATTTCTTTTTCTATCTGTTCTGCAATTCACCAACCCCTGTGCAATTTTAGATGTTAATTCAAAATTTAGATTTTAATCATGTGTATTAAAGTATCAAAGCAATTATCTATCAGCTCCTGGAATGTTAATGGAATGTTTAAAAGAATATGTGGTAACAGAGTTTGTTAACTAGATGATAATATTATTTGTCAAATTATGACTGCAGATATTGTTTGTTTTTCAGAAACACATATCCCCTCCAAAGAGATTTTAAACTATGATGGTTATAAATGATTTGTAAACTGTAGGTCGTCTGATTCAAATAAGGTTAGAGGTGGTTTAGCTACTTTTTTTAAGAAGGAAATATTATCAGGTGTAAAGTTGATGGATAAATCCATAGATAATATAATGTGGTTCAAACTAGACAAGAATTTTTTCAGTTTTGATAGAAATGTATATTTATGTTTCCTATATATTCCC